AAATTAATTAAGAATCAGCACAAATGGCACTATTTCAAGTAACTTGGATAATTTTTTATTGTTGTTTTCCGAATTATATGGATACAGAAATATATACTATTCTATAACGAAGAAGAATATGCTATAACTATTACAATTCTGTATGTTCTGAATTCATATTTATTCACTGGAATGACGAAAGCAATTATTCGATACTGATGTTCTCAGTTGAATTGAAGATAGAAGAAATGCATTTTACCTTAATACACACATCTGTAACAGAATGTGATAGCGAAATCGGAAGTTATCAGTTGCAAGTTTGTTGATAATAGACGTTAAAAATTATTGAGAAATTTTTCTTCAAATATTCGGCGTGTTCTGGGTCTGGAAGATATCCCAATATTCTGGAGAGTTTTTTCAAGTTCTTCGGCTTTTCCTTAGGGAAATTTTTATTTTTATTTGCTGCTAAGAAAATGGCGTCTGATTCTGCCGATGATTTTGATGGAACTAAATGAAAACGTGATAAATTAATGTCTGATATTTACAGGCTCCTGCTAGAGGGCATACTCGAGCGTTGCGATAGCGAATAGAAAAGGTTATTTATCTTATAGCCAGTTATTAGGGCACGTGTAAGCAATTTGATAATAGTTTTTTTCACTGAGGTTGTGTAGAAGACTTTGTCATTATCATCTTCTCTCATCCTGCTATTTATGTCAATGAATAAAGGTTTCCAGTTTCAAGAAGGATGCTGAATGCTTACGTAATAAAACAACCTTACTGATGCTATTCGAAATTTTGTGATTGTGCTTCAGTAACTTTTTTTTACTGTTCCTGTAACCATTTCTACTGAAAACCATTCATTTCTAAAACTGAAACTGATAACATATTTGAGATCAACGATGACTAATGCCCGCCTATTATCTTTGGCACTCATTTCTGTTGAGGATGGTTTATCATCTTCCATAGATTTTTCTGTTTTAATAGACAATTTTCCTGTTCAAAAAGCTAGAAAAATTGCATTATAATTAACTTATTCTTATATTTTCTTTACATTTGCTAAATTTTGGATATATTTTTCCTATTTCTTGGCTATATTATTCACAGGGGCGGATTTACTTAAGGGCTTTTTGGGCTGCAGCCCAGGGCCCCGTGGATACAAAGGGCCCCAGTCCCCACTGAAAACAATAAATGATATTTTGAATTAAAAATATTTCTAATATTAAAAAAAAAACTATTATGGGGTTGGCAACCCTGAGATCAATCAACCCATGAATGTGCGCGTCTCCGAATGGAACGCTTGCTTTGGCTTGTTTTTGGTCAGTGTATTTTTTCGCGTTTATTATGGGGGTTATTAATCGCGGTTATTAATTTTTTTTCCCTGCACATCTGTTCTCGTCGTCAAAGTAACAAACTTGTTTAGTTTACTAATAAACGATAACTTAAAAGTTATAAAGACCGGACCTTTCTCTTATTTTACTTATAATTGAAAGTACATAATCAGTATAAGAAAAGATTTCCCACTCTTAGTTGGTAAGTAAAAAGAATTATAAATCATGTTTTTTTTGTTATTAATGTATTTTTTCAATACTAAACAAGCTTTTTAATCTATTTTTAATGATAATTTTTGAATTACTGCACTCATCACAAAGCATTAAAATGTGATGTGAAGAACATCGACTGTACTGTTTTTTGTTTGACTTGCAAACTTTTTTCTAAAATACCTTCTCAATACACAACCGGATTTTCTCAATACACAACCGGAAAATCATGAAAATTCTAATGAACAGAAGAAATCAATGTTAGTGTGTTTGACACGAAAGGAAAATAGATCTGTCTTAGACAAGCAGCTTCAGAAGCAATCAAGAAAAGAAACAGAATATTATCACAATGTCCTAAAACGGGTTATTGCAGTGGTCAAATTTTTTAATATAAGGAGCTTAGCATTTAGAGGTTCCGAGGAAGTATTTGGCTCTCCACATAATGGTAATTTTATGGGTGCTCTGGAGATATTGGCAGAGTTCGATCCATTCATTCGTGAACACATTGAACAACGAGAGCTGCGACCAAAACCGATATTATCTTACTTATCAAAAAAAGTATATGAGGAAATAATTGAGATTATGGGCCGACGGATAATTAAACTCAAATAAATAACGACGACACAAAGTATTATTCAATTGTGATGGATTCTACTCCAGGTCTATCTCACAATGATCAACTTGCTATTGTATTACGATACTGTTTTCGGGGAAAAGTTTATGAAAGATGTGTATCCTTCATTAAAATTAGTTGTCATACTGCCTTACATTGATTTAATATTCTACAAGACTTTTTAGAAACAAATGGACCACTACTGGATAATTGTAAGGGACAATCTTACGACAACGCTGCTAATATGGCGGGTCACTACAATGGTGTACAAGCACTACTAAAACAAAATAATAAATCCGCGGATTATGTGCCATGTGCTGCGCATTCCCTTAACCTAATTGGTGAAGAATCTGTTAGGGTTGCAACCTTTTTTGGAGCAGTGCAAAAAATATACGTTTTCTTTTCTGTTTCGACCCAGGTGGGAACTGCTAAATAGGGAAACAAAACTAAAATTTACGTTAAAAAGTTTAAACCAGACCAGATGGTCTTCTCACTATGATGCTGTCAAAGCTTTGAAAAATAATTATTATGACATTATGAAAATTTTCGACAGTTTCAGCGAAAATTAGGATGAGAAAGATGATTTACGGACAGAGGCACGTAATTTATTCAATAAAATGGCAAAACTCGATACTGCAATTTTGATTATTTCATGGGAAGAAATTTTGGGGAGATTTAATTTAGTTAATAAAAAATACAGAGCCCTGGTTTAGATATTGGTGAAGGCAAAAAGGGCCCCAAATTCACGATCCGCCTATGATTATTCATACTAGATATTTTAAGTTATATTTCCAAAATTCCAAATGTATCTAATTCTTTAACTGTTTGGTTTTCCTCGATGTTCTGTTTCATCAGGAATGTAATTTTTAAAATAAGAGCATGTGTTTTTCACTTATCTGGTTCTCATTCGCTTGCGATTTTTTCGCAGAAAAAAAATCACTACCAGCGGGAATGGCACTCTCCCTCGATCACTCTGTGGTGCGTGAATCATTTGCAGTAAGAATGCTTATCAGTAAAAGGCCCCACCCAATTTGATTTCACTGAACCAATCAGGTTGCCAATTACTTCTGTCTCCTCCAAAAGGAGAGCCTGATTGGAGCAATGTAATCGCACAGTAGTAGTAGTAGTAGTACTTCAAATTATTTTCTATTGAGCCATTGTGGCCTAAAAATTAAACTCATAATCAGCAGAACAAATTATCAATTTTTGTTCATCAAAGGCAAAGTTTTGCTCCGATGCAATTTTTTTTAAAGGAATAATAATTATAGAGCAATTAAAAATTAAGAAAAATAAAATATTTACTGCAAAGCGACCTCTGTGCAGTTATTCGATACTGATGTTCTCAGTTCACAATGCTAACAGCACATTTGCGCCATTTTACTTCCTGCGATTATTGAATAAAGTTACCGTTGCCATTTACTTCTACTTCGACTCAATGTACCAAACCGTGCCATTTTGCAGTTTGCACTATGTCGGATTCCAGTGTCAAATCTTCAGCTCAAAAATCAAATAATTCAGGTGGAAACGAAACAAATCCAGCTTTCGCGGATGCTGTACAGAGAGCACGCCAGGTATAAATAATGTATATTTGATAGTTTTTTCAATGTTCCTTCTCGAGATTTCTTTGTTGACGATATTTTTTTTATATCGTTTTATCCTTATTGCATGGCTATTGTTGTAAGTGCTAAGTTTCGAATGCTAGTTAAGTTATCAAATTTTATATTTTCATTGATGATTTATGAAATATGATTGCTTTTATTGCTTGTTTAATGTTTGTAAACAATGATATTTTATCAAGAAAGGATATTTCGAAATAAAACATTCCTTTGTTCGGAGTTACATAATTATTTCCCTAACCGTTGATAGCTTAAAAATTCCACTTGATTAAAGCATTTTAAAATGTTTAGACGTTATTACTAGTATTATTAAACTTTTTTTATACAGATTCACAGTTATGTTTCAAATTATGGATATCATTATTGCACTGTGCATGTTGAACCGAATTTGATAATAATTACAACTTAATTATTTTCTATGGTTAATTGTAAGAGAATTTTATTGATCTAGATGATTTGGGGGGGGATTTCCTTATCGTTATTTGCCAGGCCAACTACAATTGCCAATAAACTGGAAAATTAAAAAAAAACATGTTATGTTTGGGCTGGGGTGGCTGCAAGTTATACCTTTGGAGTTGGTTCCTTTCTGTAATAGTTTTTCTCGCTGCCCAGGAGTTTCCAAGGCTTGGTAATAATTCTGCCGCAGGGATATCTCCTTGTAATTTTAAGTAAGCATGAGGAATTTGGGTTATTCCAGATCAGCAACTGTTTATTCTTAAATTTTTCTATCTGCTACTGAAATTCAGAAACTTTTTTGGGAGCTGCTGTTTTAACTCTCATACTCCGAAACAAAATTCAATGGATCTGTTTCGTAGCAACAGTTTATTTCGTTCGAATTTTATATAGTTTTTTTTTAAAATGCTATAAGAAAACTGAATATTTGTCAGAATGGCATTCCTTTACTAAACATACTTTCCTATTCCCATCCTTTAACTCTTGATTTACCAGTGTTTTCATCATAGGAAATAAATGGGTGAGAATTTCTCACCCAGTGTTTTCACTACAACGCGAGAACCTCGCATATTTTCTTCTTTTCTGGCATTATAAAGTGATTTCCGCAAGAAATTTGCGCATTTTATTAATCAATTTCAAAATTCGCAAATTTCTCGCATTTTGGAAAAATCTTCGAATTACGCTCTTTAGAATAAAATCCATTTCACTTTTCTTCATAGATCTTTCATTATTTTCACCATCTGCCCCGTTATCTAGCTTCCCGAACTACCAGTATTGTTCAGAACCTTCTCGAACAACAGGAGACAACCACAGAAACCCTTTCAGAACACATTTCTCTGCAACCACATGTTTACGGTAGGTAAGGTTTCTTCATGTAAGACGGTCAAATTTCTTATGTGCTAATGTAATGTAATGTAAGGTGGACAAATGCCTTGTAAAGGCAAAATCTTCTATGATGATGCACCAAAAATATTCAATGCTTTAAAAAATGGAAGACGTTAAAAATGTATTATAATTAAAAAAAAAGATTTTTTTTCCAAGAGTTTTTGTGTTTTTTCAGTTTATAGAAATCTCACTAAACTTTATGAAATCTCACCCTGTTTTTGAGAAAGGGTGAGAAATTCACACTCTTTGAAAGTGAAAGGGTGAAAACACTGTCACCCTTTCTCAAGAACAAGGGGAGATTTCAAAAAGATAGGTGAGATTTCTAAAAACTCAAAAATCTCAAGAACTATTCTTTAATTATAACACATTTTTAACGTCTTCTGTTTATTAAAGCATTGAATGCTTTTGGTGCATCATCATAGATTTTGTCTTTACGTCCATCTTACATTTGCATAAAAAATTTGAACGTCTTACATGAAGAAACCTTACCTATGGTAAACACAGGGTTGCAGAGAAATTTGTTCTGAGAGGGGTTCCATGGTTGTGTTCTGTGTTTCGAAAAGGTTTTGAACAAAGCTAGAAAACGGGGCAGATGTTGAAAATAATGAAAGATCTAGGACGAAAAGTGAAATTGATTTTATTCTGAATGGCGTAATGCGTAGCTTTTTCCAAAATGCGAGAAATTTGTGAATTTTGAAACTGATTTATAGAATGCTCGAATTTCTCGCTATAATAATTTTTTAATGGGAGAAAAGAAAAAAACAAGAGTCTCGCGCTGCAGTGAAAACACTGATTTACATTTCTTATCTTTTGCTAATTTAATCTTACTAGCATTACTGCTTTGTAAAGCAGATCTAAATTATGGTTATCTTTTTTCTTTTATATTGTTTTGTGACTGTGCAGATACTTAATTTTTTTTAAATCTTACTATGATAGTAACATAGAAAACTGATTTTCGGCATTTAAGTTATATTTCACAACTAAAATAAAAGGATTTTTTTCTTTTATTAACATATCTTTTAGTCAACGCTTTTAGTATGACAACAATTTTAATGAACGAAATATTGTTCTATAAAGTGTTATTCTTTTTTGGTAACTTTTTCTGAAAATACAAAATCGTGAAAATCTTTCGTTAAAAATTAAGAACTATTTTTGTTTTGAGAAGAAATAGGAACTATATTAACTTTTATCTGTCTAGCTTTATTCTTTTTCGAAAAACTGAAACAAAAGGTATAAATTTTTATTTTAAGAATTAAGAAAATGCTTTTTTTCTACTTTTTTCCCCAATTTTATTGATTTCTTTTTCATTAGCTGTAAATCAGTTTTTTTTTCTGTTAAATATTTCTAATTATCTTAATCATTTCAATTCAATTATCATTATTATTATCTTAATTCAATCATTAATTCAATTATCTCTATAGTTTATTTTAAGTTTTTTCTCTTCACTACTCACTAAAAATACAGCTACGTTTTGATTTTTTTTTTCTATAATGACTAAACTTTTTTCTGTATAAAAATATTTAATAATGATTTTATTTTTGTTATTCCGCAGATTTTTTTTTGTGGCTGAATTATTCACTTTTCCGTCAAATAGTTTGTTACATCTCTAATACACATATTTAGTAATAGAATTGCTATCTACTATGTCACCCACAGTGTGATATTACGAAAGAATTTGAGTTAGAAATTCTAAAAAACAAAGCAGAAAAATCAATAAAATAAAAGATATGTCTGTTGTCAAGACAGCACTTCATCAGGGGACACACTGCCTGCCAACACACAGGAGCCATTCCTTCGTCAGTGAAAAAACCGAAACTGACCGTGCTCCGAAGCCCCATAATGGATAGAAAAATACTGAACGAGCTAACACATCTTAAAAGTACACCTAGTAAGACTTATAAGTGAAATGCTCACTTATAAATAAAAATAGTTACAGTTAGAATAAATAACCAAATCAAATATATATTGTCAAATCAGTAAGAAAATATTATAAATAAATCAAGTGCTAACCCCAATTCTAAAATCTTGAAAAGTGAAACAAAAAGAAATTCAATGAGCAAAATTTTTTTAAAAAGTATTGACATCTGCTTTGGAAAATAAGTTCTAAAAAGGAATTTAAGCTAATTGATTGTCCTTAATAACATGTTAAAAATATCGGAATCTGAAAAACTTTGCCTAAATTGGTTAAGAAATTACTTAATAAAGCTGTTTTTAAGCAACGAGAAGTTATGACGCAATAGTCGCGAAATGAATGCATAATTTGAAAAACCAAGTGAGAGAGGACTGCAAAAAAGGATAAATTACTTTGGGGGGGGGGGTTATCCTTCGGCTATAAATCTATACCCATCAAGCACATCTAATAGTAATAATTAAGATTTGAATTAAGTACATTTTAATAACAATGTATGAAACATTCAAAATTTGTTAAACCGCATAATTAGATTTAAAAAAATTATCAATAAACTAACATCAAATGATGTAAAATTAAGTCAAAATCATCACAAATTTATTGTTCTAAAAAAATTTTAGCAGCTTAAGCTGAAAATGGGTATGTTGTAGTAAAGTATTTAGTATATCAAAATTTGAAGAGCCCCAGAGAAACCGTTGGAAAGGCGATTTACTAGGACAGAAAAACTATTTTTTTTTCGGTTAATCAATCGTAAAACCACTTTGATTTTAAAATAAATGTGTATAGCCTGTTCTTTTCCTTTTTATGTGTCACATTGCATAATCAAGTTCAAAGGGAATGCTAGGCAAAATAAAAAAATTTTTTTATCAAAGCATTTAGCTTTATAAACTCTGTCTAGAATGAACCCTGTCATCAAGTCATATAATCCAGTGCTTTCATCATAGAAAAAAAAATGGGTGAGAATTTCTCACCCTTTCTCAAAAACAGGGTGAGATTTCAAGAGATTTCTATAAACTGAAAAAACACAACACAAATAGACTGGAAAAAAAACTATTTCTTTAATTGTAATACATTTTTAACATCTTCTATTTTTTAAAGCATTGAATATTTTTGGTGCATTATCATAGAAGATTTTGCCTTTGCAAGGTATTTGTCCATCTTACTTCCGTGCGTAAAAAATTTTAACATCTTACATGAAAAAGCCTTACCTCCAGTAAACACATGGTTGCAGATAAATGTGTTCTGAAAGGGGTTCCGTGGTTCGAAGGGGTAGTGTTCTGTTGTTCGAAAAGGTTCTGAACAATACTGGTAAATAGGGAAGGTAGATAAGGGGGAGATGTTGAAAATAATGAAAGATCCAGGAAGGAAAGTGAAATGGATTTTATTCTGAATGGTATAATGCTAAGCTTTTTCCAAAATGTGAGAAATTCGCGAACTTTGAAATTAATTTTTAGAATGCGCGAATTTCTCGCGGTAATAATTTTTTAATGCGAGAAAAGAAGAAAAAAAATATTCGAGATTCTTGCGTTTTCGCGCTGTAGTGAAAACACTGTGATCTACTAACCATACTTTATTGTGAGTGTTCTAAAATTTTGTCAATGAAAGTTGAAGTACATTTGTAAATAAATTGTTTTTAAGTCATGCTAATAATCCCTTAATATATAATAAGAATATTTTATTGTGAAAATATTAATTCTCTCACGTGATTTATTTTAAACTCTTTGCCTATTTGTTTATTAAACTTATTTTAAAATAATTTAAAATGAATGAAAAATTATCGTCTTTTCTGTATTACCTGATATGACCTAGTTTCAAAATATCTATGCATATTTAATGAATTTTATTTTTTATGTGTTATCCTTAATTATTGATTTCTACAATGTTTCATTTTTTTTTGTTATGCCATAGTAATTTTGTTATGTCCAGGGCCAGATTAAGACCCATGAAGCCACTAAGCACTGAAAGGTTTTGGTGTCCTTTTTATAGGTAATTCAAAATATAGTAAATAATAAACCATGAAATGAGTTTTTATTTGAGATAAAATGTAACTAAAGCGAATGAGAGAATGTATAACTGGTAAATTTGCTTTTCAATTAAGAAGCTGGATTTCTTTTTTTTTTTTCTTTTTTTTCCATTAAAGAAGGAATTGCTACTTTTAGAAAAATTATCTAAGTATGTTTTTTTTTTATTGGTAACTGTTTAATTCTTCTGATAGCAGCAAATGTAATAATTAAATAAACCATTAATGATAATAAAATTTATTTGAAGCAAAAGTATTTTAGATATAATTAAAAGTTTTATTTGATTGATGTTACTTTTTTTTTACTGATTTTTGTTCTGAGATAGACATGTTTTTTAAAAGCAAATAACATTTTTGATTCTAACTAATAAGTAACTTAAATTTTTATTATATGTGTTCCAATTTGTAAATTATTTTTTAATGGGATTTAATTTTTTAATATTTTTTGTTATTTCTAGGAATAAAAAATTATATTCTTTCTAGAAAAAAAAGGCACTTGCTAAGCTCGACCCTAAATTTTAAAATTGTCCTTTTTTACTGTTTTATGTGTATAGTTCACCAAGTAGTTCTTTCATTTATTTAAATAACAGAAAAATTTGAAACTTTAAAAAAAAAATTAAAAAAAAATTACAGCAAGCTGCATGACAATCTCTGTATAAATTTTCTTCATATAAAGTAAATTAAAAGAGAATTAAATTAAAATAGCATTTTTAAATTAAGGTGTTTTTGAGTAAAAGGTAAATAATAGTAAGATTTAAAATCACAAAAAAATTTATTTATATCTGCATCTCTCCGCCCAAAACCAGTTGAAGTTACTCAAGAAATTATTTGTAAAAATGATCAGAATTAATATTATTTAACATTAGTAAACTTTTTTGTTATATTCAATTTTATGTGTTTAAAATTAGGCTAATATTATTGCTAAACAATTTTACTGGTCATTTTTAGATTTTAGTTTCTGCTTTTTCAGTAAAAATCTTTGTTTTTTCCTTAAGAAATCCCAGCTATGGTTAACAATCTGTTCTAATAGTTCAAATATGCTAGAATAATTTAATCAAAATTAATAATTTCATGCGATTATCTGTGGGACAGGTTAACATGCAAATTTTAACAATATGAGAAAAATCTTAGTAACGAAATTTAAATTAAATGATCATAAATAACTAAAAAATCGAAAGTGAACTCTTCATTAGAGAAAATAACCCTTTCTTGAAAATATAAAAAAGCAGTGTTTAAAGGGATGGTGGTTTATATTTACAAAAAGGCATGGAGGGCCCATTTATAAGGATCAAAAAGCATTACGAACTGTCCATTCTTCTAAAAATGCTTTTGAAGAACACCTGTTATTCTAGGAAGACTAAGATAAAAGAAAAACTTGCACATTTTTCAGAAAATTTTGATTTTTTACACAACTTTAAAGATTATACTAATACCAGCATACATTTCTTGAAATTTATCAGTTTTTGAAAATAAATTTGTTTTACCTTATACTAGATCTGTATATTTGAAGTCTGTTGCTCCGATACATTTCAATGTAAACATTTAATAAATATTTTGATACAGAAAGATTCACCAGTAAGTTCTTTTAATATTCTTATACTACTCAATTTACAATATTTATACAAAAATAAACAGTATAAAAATAAATTGTATCAACAGATTTTATCACTGAAAAATGTAATCAAATTATGTACTTGATATTATACAACTCTTCTGTTTGAATTGAAGGAGGCTCACAAAATAAGAAAAAAATCTTTGCATTTATAACGATCTCATCTATTGATAGACAAAGCAAAGAATTTCAAAACATGAGAAATTTAAGTTCAAAATTAACTAACTCTTGAATGGGACTGAATTTTTGATGGCAGTAATATGGAGAAGTAGTAACAAATTCTTTAATCAGAATTATTTTCATATTCTTTTTCTGCTATTCTAGAATTTTTTTGCTTACTTTTGGTCTAAGAGTTGGTTTAAATTTTTACAACAAAAAACTCCTTTTGTCCATTTTTTAGTCTTATGATGGTGGCAGAGGAGGTAACATAAGCAGAACCAATATGCTAATGCAATGAATAATAGGAGGTGGTGTTTTGTAGCCATTGATGTCTCGTTTTTCTGTTAATGTGTACCTGATCAAATGTTTCAGCAGATTAAATATGTTCATCACTTTTAATAGTATTAAAATAAGCTATAGAGCTGGAAAAAAATTGCTTGACAATACATACTGTTTTTTGCTAACTTTTCAATACTTTTGTTTATGATAAAGAAAATTTCTTATCAATGGCTATTAAAAAATTTTAATTGCCATTAAAAGAATTTTTCATGTAACAAGATTTAATTGGTATTTTGATTAATGCTAGCATTTTTTGACTTTTTTCTTGTAATATATTTTTAGTTTTGTTGCCAGCTTCTGAGCTATCTCAGATTTTAAATAAATGTGTACTTGGACGCTCACATATTATTGATTTTACTGGTTTTGTAAGTTTTGCTCTTGTATAATATCTATCAAATCTGTTATTGGCTCTTCTATAATTTTAATTTGTTAATTTAATATTTTTACTTAAGATTGTTTTTCTGTTATAAGATTTCTTAAACATCTTTTTTTTCTTTCTAGCTTGCAGCAAAAATACAGTCCTCTGGTAGTGAAAATAGTGTAGCAGGTGGTACAAAAAGGCCGTTGGAAGATAGTATGAATGGTGTTGCTGGTAAATACCTTTAAAATCATTATTTTTTGAGACACCAAAATTGCTCATATTTCTGTAAGTTTAAAATAAAATGACTTATTCTGTCAATCACAAACACAGTCTGTTTTTAGTACATCCTGTAATGGAGATTTCAATAAATTTAAGATTGCAGTTTTTGTTAATATTTTATCTTGATAATCAAATCCTTTTTTTTCGCAGATTTTTCCATTTTTTATGCTAATTTATTTTTCCATTTTTTATGCTAATATAGAAATAAAGTAATTATATTTATTTACGATTTTCAAAGATAAACAGAAAATTAAAACTACGTCCTAGCTGCTAACCCTTCAGCCTTCTTACTTATTTTAGCTATTTTCTAAACCGTTTTTAACCTGCTATCCGTTTTTACGCACACAAAATAAGATTTTCCGTATTTTTATTCGCCCTTGCTGGATTCATAATTTAGACGTCGCTCTTTTTGTTTTCTGGCGTGAAAGCAAACAAGAAAAAACAAAACTAGTTTTGCGATTCTTATTTAACCTATTTAAATATCGTACTTTATGATTGTTATTTACGAGATTTAAAAATCAAATATCGCATTTCGTATTTATGCATTTTTAAAATCTCGATTTTATTATCAAACATTGATATTCTTATTTACTTGATTTCAAAATTGAACGTTTCGATTCTTATTCAAGCGATTTAAGTATCGTTCATTGTGATTCTTATTTACACGCTTTTAAAACCCTGTGTAGCGATTCGTATTCTTGCGAGCTTAAAATCCAATGTGATTCGTTTTTGCGTTTGTAATATCAAACATCGATTTTCATATTTATGCGTGCTTTAAAAATTAGACATTGGTATTCGTATTCCCGCAATTTAAAAATTATGTATCGTGGTTTGTATTTTCACATTTTTTAAATTCGATATAGAGTTCCGTATTCACGTGATTTAAGAGCCTTATATCGGGATTCATATTATCTCAATTTAAAATCATGCATGTGATTCATATTCATATAATTTTAAAATTAATCATCGGTATTTATAATCACATGGGGTACAAGTTTGAAAATCGCACTTTTTTGGTCAAATTTTTGGATATACTATATATATTCATTCTTGGATTCAAAAATTTACTAATACTAACTTTGTTGACAAGAAGTAATTTTACCATAGATGGTAGTAACTCTGCTGGACCTTAAAATTTACAGATCCTTAAAACATAGTTCTTCTAGATCTTTTTCTGTTAAGCGTGCTCAACTACTAAATTGAATTGTGTTTGAACACTTCTAAATTACTAGGGAACTTTGGTATCTCAACTATATACAGTACAGAACCCGTTATCCGGAATTCGGAAAACCAAAAAACCGGAACAAGATTCGATACATTTTCCGGCCACTTTAAAAAAAAAAATTTTTTTTTTCTCATAAAATTTTAGGATTTTTCTTTCTTTTTCGAAAGATGTTTACCTTACAATCATTTTGGAAAAAATCATTAGTGTTTGTATTACTTCAACGTTTTTTCTTCTTTTTAAGATTATTACCAAATATTATTTTTTAGTTGTTTAACAATAAAAAAAACGTCTTTTTGTAGCGATTCAGAAAACCGGAAAAATCAGTTATCCGGAATAGCGATGGTCCCGATCGTTACGGATAATCGGTTCCCTACTGTATTATATAGTTGTAGTGAAATAATTCAGTAAGCCCTGTGGCAGAATTTGTTCTGGTTTTCTTTGAAAAACCTCAGTAGCAGCAATATCCTTCTGACATTTTTAAAAGTATTAAATATGTTAGTAACCAATAAACAGAAATGTATAAATGTGAAAAAAAATTAACCGTAAGTTTATAAACGGAATTCTTTTTTATCAAAAAATAAGTAAAATGACTCATGAGAAATATAAAAAATAAACACATGATAATCAAGTAATTTGAAGTAAAATAAGTAAGCAATTGGCTTTTGTATGAACTTTGTTTACTAATTAGGACGTTAAACATTTTTTCAGAATCTTATTTCGGTAAAAATCTGAAAAATATACAGCAGAGATGCAGGTTACAGATTATTATAGGAATTTCTCTCCTTCCTAGCTTGTGCGAAAAGCAATGTTTTGAAAATGGTTCTGCAGAACAACTTTTGTTTCGACCGATTATGGGCTTAAAAGATAAAGCTTTTTGTTTCCCAAATGAAAATGCTTTCTGCAACAACAACTCTGTTTTAGTGCTCTGTCCCTGTGATTCTGACACATGATCAGTATGCAATTCTTTTGAAAGTTTTACCAGCACTTAAACACTTGAATATCAAATTTATCAGATATCTTTGATTAATTTAAATGACCTGATGGACAGAGTTATGTCAATGTTAATCAATAAAATGTTAAAGTATAAATTTGCTACTGTTATCATACTGATAGATAAATTTATATATAAAGTAAAAACTTTATTTTATCATTTGTCTTTAGTCTAAGTCACTATCTGTTAGCTTAAAAAACTAGAATTTCTTGGTAAATGGATAATGCTAATAGGAATTAATGCTAATGGATGCTAATAGGAATTAATTTACTTTTAGACGGCACACCAGAAATAAAGAAAATGGCCACAAATGATGGTGAGTACGATGGTAATAAAACTTTTTGCATCTTTCAATCTATAGTTATAATATACCAATGTAACGAGTGTTATTACATTGTCGGGTTACACCGATTAAAAGCTGTGAATTCCTATTCAATGTAAAATCAAATTAATGAATTTTGTTTTACAGAGTCTAAATTTGTAACAATCCGGAAGTTTGACATATCATCTATATATAATATAGCTGTATCAGGTGTGCAAAACTAGATCCCCACTGCTTTAACCACTTACATCTTTGCTTTCTTGGTTACATTGCTGGGTTACCTACTTACATTTGAATGTGTATGGCAACCCTTTAGCAAGCATTCGTGCTGAGTATAAGCATGTACTTAAGCTCAAGAACCGTTTCTAAATACTTGAGTTGCTTTTCTAAAAATAATAAATTTATAGAATAAACAAGTAAATAATAACTACAGAATTTTCCGAAAAATGCTTTGTTCAAAATACACTCTTCTAAGCAAAATGATGGGTTTTTAATTAAATTGAATTGTTTCTCGAAAAATTAGAATTGATTCACTTACCTCAAATAAATTTTCATGGATCTATTTTAAGTTCGTAACATAAATAACTTTTAAGTACCACATATTTTATTAGGTTTTTGAGGAGAAATACATTATTCTAAATTAACCTGAAGTAATATTTCGATGAATTCTATTCATATTTCATTTCATATTATAAAGAAACCAGCAAAATATAAGAGGAAATGACTAATAAAATATAACGAGAAAAGCAGTGGTGTCAGACATAAAAACAATTATATTAATTCATAATGAAAAATAATTATTTTTCAAACATCAATGTAGACAACAACTAAGACTTAGAATCTTGCTTTGAACAGAAAAAAAAAATTATCTTATTATGTTGAATCTTAGTGGCACAGTACAATTAACTATATATTTTGGTGTCTGACATAAAATATCTAAGGTATATCTTCAGAATGTTTTTGTAAATCAAAGTGTGAAATGTTTTTACTCATTTGTGCAAGATACCTGTTTTGATACAGTTTACGTTAATTGTTACTCATTCCTTTTTCTATTAGAGTAAATTTTTCAAAATAACTGTACTTTGAGATTTACTTACCGTGATTAAAAGTTACAAATGATGTAGCCTTTATTTAATAGCTTATTGATAACTGAAATTAATAAGTTAAAAGTTAATATTTCTAAAACTTCAGTTTTTTACCTTGAAAACAATACCTAGTTTGCTTAAAAATATTGATTAAAAAATTTTTGGTCATCTGGTTGACCTTATCTTAAAATTGCCCTACTTATATTAATTATAACTGATAAATTATTAATTACGTTTCAGGTAAATGTTTTAAGAGTCCACATTTGTTAGAAGTTGTTGACTCTGTTGTGAAAGTAAAAAAAGGCTCTACCAAATAATAAGAGATATTTATTATTAAATGAAAATATGTTTTTTTAACATAAAAATAAAGTTTTTTCTTTTTAATATTAAGAGTCAAGGAATTTTTTTGTAGTTAAATTACTCCTTGACTTGTTTAGGATAAGCTATATATTAACAGTAAAGGAATTAACACAAAACCAAAGAAATATTTAATGCTAGCTACATTTGAATCAGCAATCCTTTAAAAACAGGCCTTTAATAAAATTGTGCTATATATTCATCAGATTTGCCACAATTATTGCAGTTTTAATAATTTGCTAACCTTGATCATATTACAGCAGATGAAGTTCAGTTTTAGAAGAATTTAGATTATTAGTCTCATTGTTTGATTTTTTTTAAGAATCTATACTAGTTAAACTAATGTTTTTGAAATTTTTTTTCTACCTTCAGCTTACAGTCAAATTCAAGGTATGCCTCAAAGGTAAATGTCAATTTAGAATTATTTGTCTTAATTTAAATGAATTTTTTTCTCAATAACTTATTTCTGAATCATTTTGTATAGAAATGGAGGCGGTGATTTTATTGTTGAAGAATATAGAGTTCCAGATAAAATGGTTGGACTAAGTGAGTCTTGAGTTTTCTAATAATATCTTTTTAATAAGATTATTTTGGCAAGCTTTTTTACCTTTAAAATAACCTTTGGTTCATAAATTATTTGCATAATATTATATGTTGAAGTTTAAGCAAGGAAAAAGACTGTAATTTCAGAGATAATTCCACTTTTAGAATATTAATGAAGTTTTTAAATAAAAGATAATTTTACAGAAACGAAAAACTTAGAGAATAATTGTAATGAAATAGTTTAAGTGTTGAGACAAAATTGTTTTGTTTGAAAGTGAAATTATCTAACCACAAAGTTTCTTAAAGAATTCAGATTATATCTTCGTCCAGTAGTCACATGCCTCTTTAATAATTGGCAGATAGCATATTGAATTGAAAAATTACATTTAAAATTTAATGAAGAAAAGTTTTAAGTATGTAGTTTACCATAGTTTTCTTTTTAGTTACTGTTAATTTTCTTTTTAATGGTATTTTACTCCTAAATTGATTTGATAACTTAATGTATAATTTGTAGTTATTGGACGTGGTGGTGAACAGATTATTAGGTTACAGACTGAGACTGGCTGTAAAATACAACTTGCTCCAGATAGTGGTGGAGCTCCTGATAGGCCTTGTACCCTCACTGGAAGTCGAGAGTCTGTGCAGTAAGTGGATATTTGTTGTTCGCATATTTCAAATGTTAAAGGAATTCAGCCCTGCCTTTTTATTAGTTTTGTCCATGTGAGACATTCAGATTTTGATTTTAAAATCTAAGTATCTTGTGTTAAGGTAATGTTACTCTAAATTCTTTGTTCACTGAAAATTTGAAGTGATAATTTTTTTTTAATTATATACTTTTTATCTTGTTAATTACTTTGTTAAAAATAAAATTTGAAAGATTTCTTTTCTAGGTATCTCTTTTTATAGATATTTTTAGAGAATTATTTTTACATTAGACAGTCGACTTAATGTCCAAGACACATTATTTCACATTGAAATGTCCAGGACACATTGTAGATCATCCTCATTAAAAGAAAGAGACTATTTTAAATTAAATGAGATAAATTTAAAATAAATGTCTAAAATTTCTTCATTGCAGATTATCTTAAAAGAATTTAAAAATAAATTACTTTCATTTTTTCCCCTTTTTTTGTAGCATTACTTTATTTTCTACTTCTACAGGTGCTTCATTTTAACTGTTTGATTTTGCCACAAGCTTATATTTATTGATATTAAATCATTTAACCGGATATGTTCCGTCATAGTTGGAATTTCTATAAATTCACTTGTCTATATAATTATTATGATAATAGGTCTATTTCTTAACATCCAAGGGAATTCAGCTTCAGGTAAATGCAAGTTTCGGTACCTAGGTGATCTTTTTTCTTCAATTTTATTTTTGTATCATGGGAATGACATTTGAATTCATTCTATTGAGTTGGTAAAAGTGTTTCTGTTTGGTGTTATCTCATTTTGTCAGTTAACTTTGCATTTAATCAATTCTAATTTCCCAATTTGCAAATGAAACTAGTGTTTTTTTTTATTTCTTTTACATTTTTCTGAAGTTATATGGTTGAATCATTTCTCCTTAAACATAAAATCCTTAATGATTAGTTTTACCTTTTCTGTTTTTATGGTGATTAACTGTTTTACATAATGGGTGATACAACTGTAAGTGAGTGATTAATTTTTTTCTTCTTAAAAGTATAGGTAGGCAAAAAATGATTATGAGGCTAGAAATATTTAATTTATTTATCTTCCAAAAAGAAGCTTCTGTTTCAAAAATTTATTTGAAAATGCAATGTTGCTATTATTAAAGATATGCTGTATTCAAATGCACAAAGATTAATAATGAAGTATAATTTATTTCCATTTTCTTTTTTTCCAAAAATTGTATTTGAATCTTTAACTTGAAATCTTTTTAAGGGATTTAAATTTTTTATTCCAATTTTTGAGTTTTATCAAATTAAAAAACCAGCTTTTTATTAATTTTTATTTTAACATTTAATGAACATTTTAATTAAATGAAAGTGGAATTTGTGTAAGGAAAGGGGGGAATTTAAGTAGCTTTTAAAAAATAATTAACCATTTAATGTAGTTCTATTTCTTTAAATAATTTTAGTGTGATTAATGAAAGTTTTCACTTTAGTGTGTGTCTTTTGATTTTATAAACACATTGATTTAATTACAATCTTATTGATATTCATCTTTTAAGTGATTTTTAATTTGACCTATAATCTATTGACATTTTATTTCAATTTTAGTATTTTAATACTTAAAATTTTTTTTTACCTTTTAAGTGCTTTGTGCTTCATTTTTAAAGGAATCTTGCCAGTATTCTATTCTGTGTTTGATTCTTATTGTTGCTTTATAAAATATTGATATTTAAGTGCTTTTGAAACATAAAAGTATTGATTTAATGAAGAGGTAATTACTGTGAACTTATTGTTTTTGAATCTGCATTTTCTGAAATACTATTTACGACTTCTGAATATTAGAGAGATATAAAAGATCCTGTGTGTATCTATAAAAACTCCGTAAAATATTTTTCACACCTTTTTCTTATTTCTCTCTGAAGGACCCTTCAACAATGTTGTCTGGCAGTTAAATAGTGTCACGATGCCTTGGGGCCTCTGGAAAGTACGTGCTGTATCAGCTATCTCTTCGCCATGAGCAGTTTTTAGATTTCAAAACAAGATATGAAAACATTAAAAAATGCATTATTTATCATATATACTTAAAATATTATTTTTTTGGAGCACATTAATTGTTGGGTTTATCATAATTGAAGTTCATATAAAATCTATAATTTTCTGTCGTATGAATATATATAATAAATCATCTTAATGGTCGTGGTGATGTAGTTTAGAGAAGGGCATTGTTTTCATTTTAAAAACATAAATAATTTTTACTTAGCTTTAAGTGTCAAAATGAAAAGAAAGTTTTTATTGTTTAAAACTTCTTTTTGTGTTTTTGAACTGAAGAGGTGCTCATATTATGTATAAGTACGTTATTGTTTGGATACTGGTTTCAGAACAAAAATAGATATATATAAAGCCGATTGATCTTTAATAGTAAGAAATCGTATGAAAATATTTATAGAGTTTTTTGGTCCTTTTACTATAGATAAAATTATATAGTGGAGAGAGGACTTAAGGAAAAACGGTAGTTTCGCAAAATACTTTTAAAAAAGTGAGCTCTAAGATAATTGAATTATAAATTTATTATTTTTCTTTCTCCATAAAAAACGATAAATCCCGGGTTAATGACGCATTTCTACTTGGAGCATTCCATTGGATTGCTATTATGACCTAGTAAAAGAATTCGCTTGGTTTGTAAGAAGAGTGCTTTTCCTCCCAATGTCGGGATCCTGAAACGCTGTGGGAAGAATGGAGTGTCAGTCCCTCTGTCCCTTAATTGAAAAGACAAGTTCCACAGAACCTTGTTCTCATTGCAATCTATGGGAAAAAGAGCTGTTTTTTTTTTTTTTTTTTTTTAATGAAAGGATGTTGCACTCCCTTCGTATACTGTACAGGAAGTGGAAATTGGAAATAAACATTATACATTTATTTTAAGACCTTTATATTTTTAAGGAACATATTTTATTCCCTGGATGCGAGCAGCTTTATTCTTCTTTTTTTTTTGCAGAGTTTTTTTTTATGAAACAATGAGGCTTTCCCTCTCTAAACTTTACAGGAAGTAGAAATTAGAAGTATTATCTTAAACATTAATAGAAATTTACCAGTAGTGAACTTATTTTATTTCTAGTGACAATTTTTGAAGATATTTTCTTACTTTAACATATTTTTGTGTTGATTTTATAATATAAATTTTAATTTTCACAAATTATGTCTTCATTTTTCACAAAATAGGTACCTATTACAAAAACCTAAATAGACCCCAGCTAAAATTATTCTTTTTTGTTAAAGTGAAATAAAAAATAAGTACATAAAGGCTATAAAAAATATCAGAACACTACCATTGACACTTTTAAATTTTGGTTTGTACACAACTTAAATTTTCCATTCATTGGGAAAGTTTTACTTATATATTGATGCTTTCCTTGGAATTTTTTCTTAGAAGGATAATTTTTATGCAATGATCTAATTTTAATTCTTAATATTCTTCAGTTAAGATGTGTGACAATTTCTACCTTAATATCTTTTAAAATTGCATTATTTTTCAGTCGTTATTGTTATCACAGTGGGAGTATTGGATAGATGCTGCGTGTGTTTTTTAAAAATAATTCTCTTAGGATATTCTCTAATTATTAAAACAGTATTTAACTCATAAATATATGAATATATTTTGTTTTTCATTTATTAACGTTTTTGATGACACTTTTAAAAGCTTTCTCTTCATTTTGATATAATTTTTTTTTTTACTTTTATCGTTTAACTCTGCCAGCTTGACATTTATATTAATTTGATTTCTATAGTTAAAGATTGGTACATTTGTGTTTTAATATTTAGTATCTTTATACCCCACCCGATTTATGTTTTAATTAAAAATGCTACGTATCTTAAAATGATTGATATACATGTAGGAGTGTTCAAAAAATGTTATAATTTCAAAAAGTTTTAAGTGTTGTAGCAGTATCATTTACTGCGATTAATTTCAACATTTATGTGTAATTAAGATTTTAAAAATTCTTGTGTCATTTGAATATAGAAATGAAAATGCAACAACAGCCTATTTTTGTTTTCACAGAGTAAGTAAGGGCTTAAAAATATATACAAGCTTAAAAATTAATAATTTTATCAAGGGAATTTTAAAACCTTCTTCGTATTCAGAATATTTGATTGAAAAATGAAATATTTCAGTTTGATAGATTTTCATATAGAAGATTTGTAGCTCGCTAATAATAATAATAAAAAGTTACACTACTTTGAAGACCCTATATATCAGTAGTTTCATGTATAAAGGCTTGCAGCTAATTATTTAAAATATAATAGCTGCTTTTAAATGCTGCAAAGCTTTTTAAAAACCATTATTTTCTCATATTAGGAAAAAAAGCATTTATCTTGCAAAATTTTTTATTTTTTAAGGAAGGAAATTTTAACAATTTAGTTGCATTCACAGCATGTATTTTTATACATGTAAATGCATAAAGCTTTTATAGTTACATCTGAAGATAAAGAATAAATTATTTGAAAAGCAGTTTCTTCCTTTGTACCTTGCAAAAAATTCTGAAGTTAAATTCCTGGTCCTAGGGATAAAACCATAGTCATCTTTTTGAAAATATTTAATTGATGATAGGACTTCTTATTTAAATAAGTTATAAATCTCGTAGTTCTTGTTCTTTAATATTTGTATAAGTTTTGTTTATTTCATATTAACCTTTTTTATTGCTTGTTCTTAAGTGTCTTAAAGTTTGATAAGCATGACAAAGTATTGTGTTTATGAATATGTCATTCTTTTACTTAATATTTTTGTTTGCTAAAAGTTGGCAGATGCCTATTTAAGTGATTTTTTTTTTATAAATAAAATCCGCTAATTTATGATTAAAATGGTTTTTGTGTTCCTTCAATTGTGATAATCTCAATTAGTATAGCTTGCAAAAATATATTAACTTTCAATCAATAAAATATTCCTTCACTTTCTTTTTATTTAAAGTGTCAAATTAGTTATTCTATTTATGAAAAATAACTTAAATTTTGTTTATTTTATGAAAGCAAGGAATAGTAAATTGCTGGAAATGAAGCGTTTCGTAATATCTATTTATAATTAGTTCTTTGAAACTTTTTTATTGTAGATATGTGTGTAGTGCATGACTTTTTCTTCGTTTTAAATTCAATTGAAATTTTTCTGCTATTTTCAATGTATGAAACATTGTCTTTCAATTTAATACACAATTAGGTGCAAAATAATGATTTAATTGCTTTTTATAACATTTTAACCTGTGAAATATAATATCTTACTGTTTGAAGAACTAGTTCGCCATTTGTGGACTTTTTTCTTTGACCTTTTATCGTTCAGTATTGTCTATGTTTAACTAATAAACACTTAAATTTTATATCACATATATTTTTATTCGTCAACATTGTGTGCGTTATTTATTTTTTACATGATTGTTTTATAACTTTCTCTCTTTTTTTATCAACCGTTGTTTGTTATTCCTTTCACTTTCTAATGAGATTTCTGTTCAGTAAACTAATGTATCAAATTATATTTAAGTTTTGACTATATGGATCAATTTAAATGGAATTTTAACGCAAAGTCTATATTAGTCTTACTGTATTATAGTTTTATCTAAGGGTTACCTTGCATAATTTTTCTTTGTTTAAATTTGAAGACAGTATGCAATTTCTCATACCAATGTTTTTAAATAAAAATCTTACTCATTTACTATTCTAATTTACTATTTTAGATTAGTAGTCTGAGCTTTTTGTATAGGGAAGTTTTTATTTTAGGAATAGATCATGTGATTGCAAAAAAATGAAATATATACATATAAATCTTGTTAAATTTTGGATTGTGTAAACTTTCTTTGAGTTTCATTTAATTAACATGGTGCAAGGTGATAAAATTAATTATTGCTACTTACAATTGATCGTATATACCAATTGAGCTTTAAAAACTTATTTTTTTATACACTTTTATAAAATAGTAATTATTACTTATTATTTTGAGGAGACAAATTAGTGCATTTTTAAGTAAAAGTATCTAGGGTGAAGAGGCAGAAGATTTTTATTTTATATCTTAAAATTTAATCTTTTTTTAGCTAAGAAATGATGTGTAAATTTTTTTTTTAAAGATTTATGTATTTAACTCAAAAGTAGTTCAAAAAAAGATGGTAGGAAAATTTTATTACTTCAAGATTAAAGAAAATAAGTTAAATATAATTTATTTTTTTAAGAAAAAAAAATAGTTGCTTTGAAAAAAAAATTTTTTTTCAGTGTAATCCGTAAAAATCTGAATTCTTTAATAATAATTTAAAAAAAGCAAGTTTCAATTGGAATTTTTAAACAGTCGTTGGTTTTTTAGAATTTAGTAGCTTGTTAATTCTGTTTTTGTAAAATTATATTGATAGGTTATCTTTGTTCTATTGTTTTTACATAACATAAATTAATATTTATAAATATTTTGTTATGTTTTCACATAAATGAATAAAAACTTTTAATGTGCTTGTTTAAAAACTAAGTGAATTGTTATGAAGAATATTGAATGTTTTTCAAGCATTATAAAATCCAAATATTATATTTTATTGCAATATCTATTTTCAAAGTTACAATTTTATTTTTCAAGTCAGTCTTTTTTGATTTTGAAAAGTTGATAGTGTATTAATTTGGAACTGTGCATTTCTTTCGATTCAGTGCCTTTAAAGTGTTGGTACTTTAAAGCTGTTCATAAACATATCTCATTTGACAGGGCCTAAAATTTATTAACAGGGTGATAATGTAAGAAGGAGCACTGTGTGGCTTTCGGAGGATAGCTTGGAAGGTAAGGCCACACTGTAAAAAAAATTACTTGCTGAATTACTAAAACCTTTTATTTACAATATTTTACATTTATTTAAGTTAAAAATATTTCCTTTAAATTGATATGATAAAAATGCTGCAGCACAACTCATTATTTCTCTCCAGCTTGTTTTTAAAATTATTTATATTTAAATTTTGGCTGTTAGCCATAGCCATTTAGTTATAACAAAAAAGCTTACCTTTAAATTTCTTCAAATTTTAATATTTTGAATGCCTTTTTCCATTTAATATTAGTGGTAGAGAGCTAGGAATAAATGTGAAAATTTTAATCAATATATTGCCGCTATAGTATCGCTTTTTATAATGTGTAGCAATTGACACTGCCTGTGTTGCTTAACTGAAATTAAGTTTTATAAAATTGCTTGCTGTTATTGTAAATTGTTAGCTTTTTTAAATGTCTGAAATGTCTTACATATGTCTCGGACTTTTTTAAACATTTATAGTGAAGCATTGAATTAGTTTAATTTTGTGTTGACTAGGTGGTCATTTTATCGTGAAGTCACAGTGAAAAAAGTGAATTAAAGATTAGTCTATAATTTAAATTGCTATAATGTGTAATGCTAAATTTACAATCTCTCATGAACAGGTTTTAAGTTCAGCTTCTAATATCATTGAACCTTTTTATAGTTTAAAAACTGTTAACATGTCAAATTTCACATTGCTATCAGGTTAATGTTTATTTAGAGGTTTATTAGCTCTTGTGTTATTAAACTCACTAAATCTTATTTAGTTGTAACAGGATAAATCTTATTTAGTTGTAAATTTTTTAACAAAAATTTAATGTGCATTTTAATTGTAATTTGAATTAATTTATCGGGATTCACTTGTAATTTAAACCTGAAATGTCAAGGAAGTTGGAGGTTTTTGATAAAATGCTTTTATTAAAACTAAAGTTTTTATTTTGGCATGTTTTGTATTTTTAGTCAGTTTCTGTAAACATTCATAATTAGTACATGAAGGGCACATTTTTTATAATTCTGTAAAGAAAATTGTGATTACTGATACAGGACAGTGTGGAAGGCTATATTAAATATATATTTTGATTTATAATATAAAATGCTATAAAAACGTTAATTTAGCTTAACTAAATATTTGTCTTTAAGATGAATAATTTTAAAAAATTTTGTGTAATAGAGAAAATTGTCTATTGAGTTTAGGTTTTTAATCTATTTGACATTCGAGTGTATGAAGAATAGGATCTTTTCACAGCTCATTTGATATCCCATATGTTTATTTTCTTTTTCTTTAAATTATGATTATGTAGTTAAAGCCTTTTTTAATAGAAAATAATCTAATATGAATTTTTACACTGAAGAAATGATAACATTCTAAAATTTGGCTTTTAAAATCTCCCCATTGTAAATATTCTGAATCGATCACAAGTATTGCAAATAGTAATGAATTGAATGTATTTCAATATTTTGATTCTTTTTTATCGATTGTGTGCTGGTAATTCAATCAATGTAAATGATAATCAATGTAATTTTTGTGCCTCAGACTCTAACTTTTTATTTGTTCCTAATTTAAGAATCTTAAATGCTTTGAATGGTATCTTAAAAAGTGTCACATAGCATAACTTTTTGGATTTATTATGTTAGAGATGAATAGTTTTCGAAACTGATGGCTAAATAATGTAGTTAGTGCGCTGGTCCCACAGTGTATTGATTGTAAGACACTGCTCCTAGCAGAGCACAAAACTCTAGCATCGCTGGGAATGAGAGGGTGTGTGACCGGTTTGATCTGTCTGTGATGGGTATTGTGCAATTAACTTATTTATCGTACAGTGTTCGACTTTGCACTATTGGTTAAGCTACTAGAGTGTGACCCTTTCTGCTGAGGATAAAGATTTTTCCAATAATCTATTGTGCAGATCTAGCGTGAAGTATATATTAGGTATTTCACTGGTAATGATAGAAAAAAAAACATTGGGAATTAAAGTAATGTTTTACATTATTTTAATTTTATATAATGTTTTAAATAATTCTGGCACTTTTCCCCCTTAATTTCTTTTGTGTTGAAATATTCCATTGAATTTTGTTGTACTATTGTTATTCTAGTAACTCTTCCACTAACACCTAACTATCTCTAGATTGGTGTCTCCATTGATATTTTGTTTAAGTTGGTTCTATAATTTTGCTTTCCAAATGGTTTTCGAATCAATTAAAAGTTTTTTTTCTGTATAAGGAAATTTCTGATATTTTTCAACTTTTTCTCTAAACGGAATATTTGATCAAATTATTTTGAAATAACTTTACTGTTTGAGAAAATTCATTTTTTAATGTTGTCAAATCCATTTTTAACTAAATTTTCTCGAAGCAATTTGAACGCAGACTTTTCTTATTAAAAATAATGTATCAGAATTTCTTATATTTATAAGTTTGATAATTTTAAAGAAAGAACCAATGTAATATAAATATTTTTTAAGTTACTCTTTCTCGATTGTTCCAATTTCTTAGTGAACTAAATTGTCTTCGTACTGGCAAAAGTTTGTAAATTCAGTATTATAGAGTTATATTATTTCAATCTTCTTACCTATTTTTACACTCAATGGTTAAATCAATATTTATTGCTTGCATGTTGGTATAATTATTGAGCAGTCCTTAATCTTAGGTAAGTATGTTTTTTTTTAAAATTTGTTTTTCTAAAAATAGCACACAGGCAGTTGTGTAAGTAATATATTTTATAATTTATATTTATTTCTTTTAAAATAATATTTTCTGTATTTAGAGCTGTGAAAGCAATGATTGATCAAATCATCAAAAAAGCAAATAGTCCCTACCCTCCAGATTCTAATTCTGGTGGTGGTGGTGGCGGCGGCGGTGGAGGTGGTCATATGTCCGATGGTCAATATACAGCTGAAATGATGATACCAGGTCCTAAGGTTGGTCTACTAATAGGTAAAGGAGGTGAAAACATAAGGAATTTACAAGTAAGGCACTTGTTTTGCATCAGTTTTCTTATATATTTATTTGCTTTGAACTTATTGCCAAATTAATGCATGTAACAGTATTATTTTTACAGGGTGCATAGCATTTTTAAAAAGTGCTTAAAGGTGCTTATTTTTGATATAGGGTTTTTAAAAGCCTTCAGGTTTATAAAAAATGCGTACTTTTCTATCGTTTAAAAAGTATTTTTTCTTTGCCGTGTCAGTTGTCGTTTTAAATTACAAAAATTGCATGATTTTTACATTTTTCTCTGTATCAGAAACAAGTTATTTTATCTTGATTATGTAAGTTTTTAAAAATATTTTTGAATTTTATTGATTTTTTATTTATAAATTAACAACTTTGATAAAAATAATTTTTATTGATTCACAGATCTTAATTATGAATTTTTTTTTTGGAAGGTGATTAAAATTATTTTTTGAGTGCTTAAAAAGTACTAAGAAAGTGCTTCTTTTTTGTTGAAAAATCTGGCTACTCACCCTGTTTTAAGTAAACTCAAAATCCATTGATCTTTAGTTTATCAAACTTAATGTTTTTGTTATGCTACCTTAAATATGGATAGATAAAATAATCTCTAGTATACAGTCAACTAATCATTGTTTAAGCAATTAAATTTCTCCTAATAGGAGGAAAGATGTTTATGGATATATATATATTTAAAAAAATGTGTTTTCTATAATGGGTAATAATTTAAAGTGAAAAAATGGGCAAGAAAAAAAAACATTATTAACATGTCAATTATGAAGTTTATTTTTATAATTACTTTCCACTCTTATATTCCAATTTTTATTCTTAAGGATATAACTCTCTAAGTAGTGAAGCTAACCATGTCTAGCATAATATATATTTAACTGTATTAACAAATATATATAACCTGATCCCCTATTTTCTAAGGCTTGAAATTATTTTAAAGTTTGATGGTTTTATAAAGATCCAACTCACAATTTTCATGCAAACTTTTTTCTTCATTCTTTTTAGGAAAAAGGTGGTGTCAAAATGGTACTTATTCAAGATGGACCTCAGCAAACAGTTCACGACAAGCCTTTAAGGATATCTGGTGATCCCCAGAAAGTTGAAGTAAATTCTGTTTTATAAATTTTTTATCTTAATTATAAATTTTTTAAATTTATATTTCCTAAATAATAAATATTTATATTTCCTAATGAATTTTTTATTTTTTTCTAGTTTGCCAAACAAATGGTTATTGATCTATTAGCTCAAAAAGAAATGGAGGTAAGACTTCTTAGCTGTGAATACATGGTTGGGTTTTTGACATGACAGTGGTAAAAACTGTCAAAACCTACTGTTTTCTTTTTATGGCATATAGCAGGCAATATATTATTTTCACGTAATTGCCTTTATAAATGAATGTTGTAAATGATTGCTATTGATTTTGCAACTATATATACATGTATTCTTATTGCAGGATATACATTCATATAGAAATATTGTAATATACTTAGTGAAAATAGTGATACTTACTTTTATCATTATAGCTTGATTTGCGAAGGATTCAAAATTTTGCACTTCTTAATTGTTAGAAATAAACAAACAAAAAAGCTTGGAACTATTAATAAATTCAAGAACTAAAAAGAAGAATTTAAAATTTGGCATTTCTTAAATATTAGAAATAAGCTAAACAAAACTTTCAAAGCTTGTAACTACTAACAAACTCTAAGTCAAGAATGACTTGACATTCTTCNTGGTAATTTCTTTGAGTATGTTTTGATAGAATCATGTTGGGAAAATGCAAGAATCTGTTCTTAAATATCTTTTAACTACTTTTTTTCTAATTTCATTGCCCAAAAATGAATTAATTTTATATTATAAGCAGTTAAACTCAAACATACAGTTTTACCAAAACTATGGGTTTTTGACAGAGGGGTTTATGACATGACGGTAAAAACCGTCTTGTGTCAAAAACTTGCCAACCCTGTGTGAATACCATTACATTCTTTTTGCTCTAAGACTCAGTCTTATGAGAGTGTACTTTAAACTAATGTACCCTCTTTGACAGGGTGCTTAGCGTTTTTAAAAAATGCTTATTTTTGAATTTAGTTTTTTAAAAGCCCTTGAAGGTGCTTTTTTTCATTAGGTATTTTTAAAAAGTGCTTAATTTTCTCTTTTTGAAAATTAGATATTTTTCTTTACTATTTCAATTTTCGCCTCATATTATGCAAAAGCGTGCTTTTCACATTGTTCTGTTCCAACATTTCCATAATTCATTCTACCACCATCTATTTTGATGTACCGTCTGTCCATAGCGTATGAAAGCGCCAATCATTTTACTTATTTGATGAAATACTTGCTAATCTGCATATGTGTCTGAGCTGAGTTTCAGGAATTATTCCACTTTCATGTACAACTCTGCTGCATTTTGCAAGATATTCTCAATTTCAGGCTTTATTTTCCCCTGTCTGGTATCGAACCAAAAAATCTCATTTTAAAATGGCTAATAAAACCAAGAAAATAGTTCTTTGTCAGAAACTAGTTATTTTATTATGTTCATGTTAAGTTGTAAATTAATTTGCATTTTGTTAATTTTTAAAGTATTTAATTAATACCTTAATATAGTAATTACTATATTCATCTTGTAGAGTCCATGCTGAAAACATTTTTAATCTTGTCTATAACAAATTGTCACTTTTGAAACTACTGGCTGGATCAAGATGGAGCTGTTCTAATAATAACTTATAAACTTTTTATTTTGCCCATTATAACTTACTGTTGTGAGCCTCTGATTACGGCATCTGACTCTGTTACTGAATTGCTTGATAAGGCCCTAAATTAGGCATTACGGGTCATTACAGGGGTCATAAAAATGCCGATTTAAGCAATGCTTATGATGACTGAAAACAGGCAATTGATTTCAAGAAAATCCTACTGCTGACTGTACGAATAATAAAATTACCTGGCTACCTCTTATGATCAAACTCTCCTTGAGGGAGATGTTTGAAGACTGGACTTGGTTTTGTGCAGGGTGTCGTGGAACTACTTGATATAAATTTCTGTCCCGAGCAATGAGTCCTACCTTTGGATTCGTCTATCCATAAAGGTTTCTGGTACCGCACTGAACTCACCCAGGAAGATTTAAAAAAAGAACAAGACATCTCTAGTCTCTTTTAAATACGCTTACTCTGGAAACGATATGCACCCTGTATCCCGAACCCTATTGGGTACACATCTATACTGTTGGAAGCCTTTTGAGGGATACTGATAATGCAGGGGCTTATAGCCATCTTTTCTCCTTTTATTTTAAAATTTGAGGTTGCACTACTGATTTTGATTGTGAGGTTGCAACCATTCGTGTAGCCCTGTCACAGTTACACTAGTGCCTGAACAGTTTTCAAAGGGTTATGTTTTGTGGCTTAAAACCGGCGATTTTTGCTGTGAACTCAAACTCTACTCCTGCCTCTAACGTCTCCAAATGCAAAAAACTCCTGCAGAGCCTGTTTGGTTTCTCTAAGGAAATCATTCTGCAGTGAATCCCGGGACACTGGTATAGCTGGTAACGAGTCAACTATCTCTCAAATCAGGGAGCTTCTATCCTACAAGCATTGATATAAGCTGTCCATTTTGCTTATGCTAGGCGTCTAATCGAGAAAAGGATTAAGGGTCTCTCTTTAAACCAAATCACACAGAGAAATTCTAGAAAGATCTGGTGGAATAATCTCCAAAGACCTCCCTATGCCTCCAAGACGCAAAGCAGTCACCAAGTTTCGGCTATCTACTGGACAGGACTTGCCTCCTTAAACATCTTTATTGAATTCATGCTGCACAGGCCCTTTTCTGCACTAGACTTTTTCTCACCATGCCTGTTATGTTCCCTGTAGTATTTAATTTTTATTGACTATTAGGAAAATTATAAATCTTTAAATTATTAAAAGAGAAAATATGTTTACTTTTGAGAATTAGTTTTAATTTTTAAATATCACTTTTTCCCTTTATTTTAGCGAAATTATGCTAATGGTGGTCCTTCTAGTCAAGAAGAGGTATGTATTATTTAATTACCTGTTGAAATTCTATAGGCATTTTTATTCATTATTTAATGTTTTACTTTATATCTGTGAACTTAAACTATTTTAAAGATCATGGTGCCTCGTCAAGCAGTAGGAGTTGTTATAGGAAAAAATGGAGACATGATCAAGCGGATACAACAAGATTCTGGAGCTCGTGTCCAATTTATTCAAGGAAAAGAAGATATACCCGGGGATAAAATCTGCCAAGTAACTGGTACCATGGATCAAGTTCAAAAGGCTGGAGCTATGATTAGAGATCTCATCCAGAGTGTATTGGTATGTTTTTACCTAAACCTTTTGCTTATCATACAAAACTTAAATTAAGGCACATTATTCTTAGATTTTATTAATTTCAATGAAATATTAATAGCTCAAAATATTAAATGGAATTATAATAAATTTTAAAATGTTAGAGGAAAGAATATTGATTTTAAAATCGCTTAAAATATTTCTAGTAAGTCTTTAAAAAGTCTAGAAAGAAGAGATGCTCATACTACAAAAGTCTCAATTAATTATTAATTTACAGATAATTTGAATCAGTTTTTACATTACTTGTTTCAAACAGTTAAAGATAATTGTTAGGAAAACTTAATTATATATCTAAGAAATTAGATTTATTTTCAATTTCCCTGTAAACACAATGAAGTCTTATAAGCAAAATGCAGTAAGTGTAAAATTATTGGTATTGTGCTTGTTAATATAAAAGAGGCTGTTTTTAATGCTGCTTTAATATTGAAATATTCTTTTAATAATTACGCTTTTACTTTGTTAAATGGCAATTGCGAAAACTTAAATGGAAAATTTAGATAAATTTTAAGAGTTAATGTAATAGACAGCTTAATATGTTTGTAAAATTCGACATATTTATTTTCAAAATTAACTGAAATTTCTTAAATATTAATTTAATGTGCTTGAAATTTAAGAGTAATTGGTTATTAAGTGGGTTATTTTGGGATTTTGCCGCAATGGGTGCGTGCAAATCTTAGTGCAAATGAATGTAAATTTCTGACATAGGTTCGTGATCAACAGATGGGAGGTAATTCTGGTGGAGGAATGGGCATGCCTGGAGGTGGCGGACGAGGACGTGGCAGAGGTCGAGGAGGTATGGGTGGTCCTGGCGGCATGCGGCCTGACTTTGGACCTGGTGGACCTAGAATGGGTCGTCCTGGTGGTGGCGGCGGAGGAGGTGGAGAGGGTGGTATGGAAATCCAGTTTCCTGTTCCAGCAAACAAGTGTGGCCTTGTCATTGGAAAAGGTGGCGAAACAGTTAAAAGTATTAATCAACAGTCTGGAGCTCATGTTGAAATAGCAAGAGGAGCTCCACCCAGTCCTCATGAGAAGGTATTCACCATACGAGGGAATCCTCAGCAAATTGAACATGCTAAGCAATTAATAATGGAAAGAGTTGGCGGAATGGTAAATATCTTTTTTAATGTATTTCTTGGTTAATTTCATTTTAGGACTATTATTTTTTAAACGTTCAGCTAGTGTTTTAATCAGGGTTGATTGTGCTCCGTAAAAATCCAGATTTTCGCCAACAGTAATCCGGAACTTTCCGGAGATCGAAAGTCCACACATTTAAATAAATAATCATTGATCACAGAAGCTTCCGGAAATCAAATTTTCAAAGGTGGAACTTAAAAACACAGTTTATTTTATTTGTTTGTAAGGGAGAGCCAGATACTTTATAAGCTTATATTCATGATTAATATTCATTTTTTTTTATCTGTAAATAGTTATTACACAGGTGTGTGTAAAATTTTAAATATATTTTAAATAAACTAAGAAATATTGAGAAAAAGGAAAAAACCTTGCTTAATTTTTTTTTCAATTTAAGCTGTTTCTTTTTTTTTTAACTCAATAAATTTTCCGGAATTTTGACTTAGGCTAACAATCACCCCTGTTTAATATAAAGTGTAAAGCAATTTTAATTTTGAGTTGTTTGCATTTTTTTATTTTTAAATTTAAAACTCTGGGGGGAAAAATCGCTTGCGTTTTAGTAATGAGTGCGGTTTTAACACCCTTTCTAATGTAAAAGTGAAAGTTAGTGATTCAGTTATTTTTTTCAAATCTTGTATGGCGTTTTATATTTTTACGATTATAGATTTTTTTTCCATCTGATTATAAATTGTGAATTAAGGTATTGTCCATTAAATTACTATCATGTAATAAATGTTAAATAGCATACTCTGCATTTTTATTAGTAAAACTACTTTAATGTTAATTTGATTAAGGAAGTTTTGTATTTGATTACCAATTTTAACTATTTTCTTATGAAGGAATATAAACTAAATGGTACTAGTATAATTTTTTTTATTCTGGCTACCTGGAAAAGTCAGCCAATTCTTCTAAAATAAATATCCAAGTGTTAACAACTATTATCAATTTCCTATGAGAGAGTTTGTTTCCCAATTGGGAAGGAGCTATTTTAAAGTATTGAAATTCCAATTGTCAAGATTCTGGAATCATTTGTGTATATTTTTATTTTATCTTGAATATAATTCTTAAGCGAACGTGAGAATAATGCTTTTTATAAGTGTTACAATAATTTTCTTTTCTGAACAGCCTCCTGGTCAAGGTGGTCCTCCCCCTGGCCAAGGTGGACCTCCTGGTGGTCCTCAAGGACAATATCCTGGAGCTCAGTATCAACAGCAGTAGTAAGATTTATATTTTGTCAAACTTTTCTTGTAATATTTTTATTCCAATATTTAAATTTTTTATGCAGAATATAGCTTTCATAAAATCTTACTTAGATGCTTAGGCTCTTCTAAATTCTCTCACCATTCCTTATGGTAACTCTTCCGCAATCAAATTTGTTTCTTAAGGATGAACACATTGTTACATCAAAATAAAAATTCAATTTAAAGGCAAATTATATTCATCAATTTGTTCAAAAATTATTTTATTTTATTTTTTTGTATTGTAGCTCTGGTTTCACATTTTTAGCTTTTGATCCTATTGAGGTATATCTTACATTAAGTTGAATGAACAGTTTTATTTAAAATTTATTGTAAAAGTAAGTTTTATTTATTAAAAAATTACTATATATATTGTTTAATAGTTTTAAATTGATAGTTGTAATGTGACATAATAAAGTAAAATGCAATACTCACCTGGTAAAAACTCCTTAAGCTTGTTGAGTTTATATAAATATTATGCTAGAAAGTTCATTTTGTAGAATTAGGCGTACCGTTAGAACTTTTATTTTATATTGATAATACCATGAGAGGTATGAATCTTTGTTCATTTATTAATACATGATTTTTTCCTTTTTGTAGGAATTTGCAAAATAACAAAAAATGCAATTATCTTTTTATTATATATATATAGGTATAGAGTAACTAATAATAGATTCCTTACAAAGTCACATTCAAAGGAAATTTTAATTAAAGAATGTTCTCCATTTCTAATTTTAAAGTTAGCAAAATAATAAGGTAACAAATGAACTGAATGAGACTAAGCTTGAGTATCCTCTCTTACTAGCTTGTATAAGGAATTCATTTATTCATTCTTTAGTCCATTAGTTCTAAATATGCATTAAAATTTTGACCTATCTTAATAGTAGTTATTCATGCATTATATATATTTCTTATAATTCTGGAATAATAACTTTTCTGTACGCTTCCCTAAAAAAGTAAACAAAGTTTTGATCAAAGTTCTCATTGTTAGTGAAATTAAGCTAGTATTAACAGAAATGTAGAGTAAAAGCATCTAAGTAAATTCATACTTTTTGAAAGTTCTTTTGAACCCTTTTAGTTTTACTTTGTTATATGGCTCATAAGGCATATTTTTTATTTTAGTCAACAACCTGGTCCTGGTCAACAATATGCTGCTCCAGGATGGCCCAGTGGAGGCTATCAAGCATGGCCTAATCAACAAGCCTCAAGTGGTGTACAAGTGGCAGCATCTAATGATCCAAGTAATTACAATACGTATTTATGTAGAAAAATATCTTAAAATAAAGTTAAAAATACTACGGGAAGCTATGCTTGGGGGTTGTAATGATCCATACATCTGTTTAGAATAAGTTTTTTTCTACTTTAACTACCTAGAGTTATAAAGTTTGGTTTGTAAGTAATCTACGAGAATTTTTATTTGGAATTGCTTAAATTCTCTTTTAAAGAAATATATGATAGAGAGAAAAGAAGCAAAGAAATCATAATTTTATTTTTCCAACAATCTATTCTGAAATTACTCCTCTACTTTTTTAAATAAAGAGCAATATCTGAAATCCTGTGGGTTAATATTTTAGTTCTGCGAATGAATAATAATGAAACACTAGCTCTAATTAAACCACATAGTTTTTGTATATCAAAAACATACCTTGCTGAAGTTTGTTGATGTTCATTGAAAATTAATTTTTAACTTATATTTTGGTAATAGTTTATTTATTTTAAAATTACTCATTTAAAATATTTACGTTTGCATTGCGCTGGATTTTAATAAGTCAGCATAAATTTGAATCATAATTTTTTTGCTTAAGACATTTTGGTATTTGTTTGAGAAAACACATTTTTTGATTGATTTTAGATAAAGTTGCTGCTGATGCTAATGCTGCTGCATGGGCTGCTTATTATGCACAGTTCTACAGCCAGCCAGGACAACCTCAGGCACAACCACAGCCTAATGCTATTGCTCAAGCTCAACCTCAGGCACAACCTGCCTCTCAACCTCAAGCTAGTAAGTAACATTATTACTTCACCTACTGGCGTTTTAGCAAATTGAAAAAATTTGGAGAGTGTTCCTCACTATTTCCCTAACTAATAACATTGAAAAATCAGCTTTGCTATACGGAGTAGACTTCGGATTAAGGTATGACTTTTTACACCCAGAACTGTCTGTGAGTTAAAAAAAGAATTTTTCTTATATGATTCTTTAATTACGAAGCTTCTGAATACAAATACTATGTGCAGTGTTTTCATCATAGAAAAAAAATGGGTGAGAATTTCTCACCCTTTCTCAAAAACAGGGTGAGATTTCAAAAAGTTAAGTGAAATTTCTAAAAACTAAAAAAAAAAAACAAACACGAAAACTCTTGAAAAAAATAATTTCTTTAATTATAATACATTTTTAACATCTATTTTTTAAAGCATTGAATATTTTTGGTGCATCATCATAGAAGATTTTGCCTTTACAAGGTATTTGTCCATCTTGCATAAGTGCATAAAAAATTTGAACGTCTTACATGAAGAAACCTTACCTATGGTAAACACGTGGTTACAAAGAAATGTGTTCTGAAATATGCGAGATTCTCGCGCTGTAGTGAAAACACTGATGTGATATCTATATAACATTTGCAGGCATATGATTCCTCAATTTATATTCAAACAAGAATGAAAAAATTTGAAGCCCTGCTAATTTAAAATTTGTTACTCATTAATGAGCTATTTATTCCTCCCTTGACAGCTCCCTTTATTTTTTTTCTCAATCCTCATTTACGCATCATAAGTACTTTTTTGCATAGTTGTTAGAGAAAAAGTTTTTAATCCCCTTTAGATGCGCTTGCTTTGCTTTGATACCAATGTAAATCCATGCAATGTTTTGATAATTTTATCTGTTAATCATGCACCTGAGTATTCACTATTTGACGCAATAATTCAATTTTTAAATCAAATTTTCGGCAGAAGTTGATGAGAGAAAAACATTTCTTTCTCTCATTAAGTTTTATAAATGTTATTGTGCATAAAAATTTGTCCTTTGTTCATTTTCTATGTACTGAAAGAAAACTACGCATCATTTATAGTAGGCCAGCAAATGACCATCACTATACCTTAAATTTTCAATCATTCATTGTATAAAATCTTACAAGGATTGATTGATTTATATCACATATTTTTGAGATTTTTTATTGACTTCATAGTTACGAAATATATTACTGTGTTTAAAAGTTTCTGTTAACAAAAATTTTTATAATTAATTACAACTCTTTTGAAAGAGTAAAGAACTTTAAATTCTTTTGGATTTAAGAAGGTAGATGAAGAAAGGAAACAAAAGTCAAAAAGTTCTCAGAAATTCCTCCTTTTTAAAATTTTGTACTGTTTTCTTGCTTATTATCTTTGATGTTTCAGATGTTATTATCTGAAATACCAAAACTGTGATGTAATTTTTTTGATGAATGCAATTTGTTAATTTTCTACTTTATCTGTAGGCTCTGGTCAAGCAGATTACAGTGCTGCCTGGGTTGAATATTATCGTTCTCTTGGAATGTACAGGGAGGCTGAATTGATTGAGCAACAGTCTAGGGGTGGTCAAGCTCCGGTGAGTAGTTAAATTCTTTCTGTGAGAAAACAATTATAAAGTTAAATGACAGTTTTTTTTTTTTTTTTTTTTTTAAGTATGAACACCAGAGTTTGCTTATAGTCAGCCTACTATAGCTTAGTTGATTGCTGGGTTTTTGAATGTGTGAGACCTAATATTTAGAATGTTCCAGAGAATTTAGTCACGTTTCTATAAAATCCTGTAGTATATTAAGGAATGCAATTAATTCCTTTGCGATGTTGTTAACATCTTTCTTATGCTATCTTAGTTATGCTAGTTTCTTCAATAAATTTTTTAAAAAGACTGGAAGGTAGCAATCATTCTTGTTCTCGATAAAAACTAAAGCAAATATTGGATTGCCCCAGCTCTATTATCCAAGCTTTAGCCAAAGCAGAGTTCATCGATTTGACTGATCGCAATTCAGCAGATTACGTGATGCTTCCTTCTGAATGTTAAATTTTGAAAATTTAATTACTTGAATTTGATATTATGTTCTAGTAAGTAATTGATACACTCTTACGTTTAACGTTTGAATGTTCCACTCTATTTCTGTAAATAAAATTTATAAAAATCATTCTGTTAAATTTATTTTGAAACTTATTTAAAATTATAGAATTTTTCCTTTGCCCTTTGTAGAATGTGCCCCTTAGTTATAAAACCTTGTGCAAATATATATTAAGTATAATTTATTTCTAATTTTCTTAATTTATTTAGTCTGTTCCTGCTGGACCACAAGGTCAACCTGGTGCACCAACACCACAACCTAGTATGTCACAGCCACCTAATCAACCAGCAATGCCTACCCCAGCTGGTACACCTGCAGCACAACCTGCATCTGCACCTGTTGCAGCAGCAGGCTATCCTGGAGCCTATCCAGCACCTGGTCAGCAACCTCAGCCAGCTCAGGTACCTTATGGTCAACCTGCCCCCTACCCTGGATACAGCTATGCTGCAGCATATGGAGCACAACAGCCTTTCCAAGCTGCTGTTCCTCAATAGATCTTCCATAAATAATGAGTATGTAATTGATTTATTAAATAATATTGTACATTGACATTGGAGGAATGCATACAATTTTCAATATTGTGTAGTTTCTCCTTTCAATCTAGTGATATTGGGGTTGTTCTACTGTTAATACTTTCTGTTGAAGAGGAACCTCCACTTGATTGTTATTAATATCTACTGATAGCATTAATAATCTCAAATAAGACAAACTTTTAATTTCTTAACATTTGATTTTAAGCTTTAGACTGATAAAACTGCTTGTTTGTAATCTATAAACCAAAGCTGCTGACTCACTTGTTTGGGATTATGAATTTCAAAAACTGTATGATAAAAACCACTATTACTGGAGTTTGGTCGTTATAGTGCTTTGAACAAGACCTTAAGTAATTGCTGAATTCTACAGGTATCCTCTAAAATAAACAAGTATTCTAGTAGTATTTCTTCAACATTATAACAATTTTTGTGATTAATAGTTTTACATAAAGAATTAACCTAATTAGATCTATATCTAATTATGTATAAATGCCTACAAAGTAATAGTACAGAAATTAATTATATAAAATATTTCACTACTATTGCTAACAAAATTAATGCTGTATAGAAGTGGGTGCTGTAAATTTGTTTTTGTTATAAATATTAATATCTAATCACAAGCTCTGCCGAAAAATCTTACTTTTTCATGGTGTTGTAGATCAAAACAGGTTTCTATGCTAATTTCGTCTCTTTTTTTTTTGTGGTGTATCTTACAGTTTTAAACGCTTTCTGCTTGCAAGATCATTTTAAGTAAAAAAAAAAACTGTCTGGGTGTATAGTTAGTTAATTGTAGGAAACTAACTTTTACTATTATAATTTAATTTTATTATGCTTAAACTACAAATTGCTTGTTTTTGAACAGTTCGCGCGTTTTTGAATAGTATCTGTTTTGCTTTTTAACTGAGATGAGTGCACCGTGGGAACCCGGGTTTCTTTTTTCTAGGAACGGGAAATGTGCGGAATTTCATACAATTCCATATGTCTCGAGTTTATGGACTTTCTGGCGAAATTTTTGCTAGAGCCCTTTAACCAAACGTTTACATACATATTCTTTTGTCTTTTTTTTTTCTTTCTTTTTCCGTTGGTTGGATTTTGGATTCATTGAACTGCTCAAGAATTCGCTACTATCGTCATTCATACTCATGTGATTTTAATACCAAACCTCTCTTTTTGATATCGCAATTTGTATCTACGATTTTTTAAAATCCATTATAGCATTGCAAAGAATGTGATAATTTTTGTTAGAGGTAATTCAATTATGAATCTTAGTTTTAATTTTTTTAAAATTAATGTGTTAAGCATGAAACAAATATGGTATATAAGTTTGTACCTTGATATCCAATTAGTGCAGTTAAAATTGTGTTTTTAATCACGTTTGTGTCTCATTCACTATTGTTTTAAATTCTATCTACTTGTTTTATATTTATTGCAAATAAGTCTGATTTTATTTTTTTTCTTCTAGGCTTTTAACATGTTATTTTGCAGTTAGATCGTCACGTCATTTTGCATCTTAGTGAAACTAAAATTGGAAATGCCTTCCACGTAATTAGACTTTACATGTTCCGATCAAGAAAGTGTGCAAGATTGTACAGGTTTCACTAAACAAAAACACCCTAAAAGATACTTTTGTGTATAGATTGCATTTTTTTCTCCCTTCATTGATCTTTAATTCTCATTTGTAATATTTTTTGACGAATATTCTTTCTGGAAGTGACGGAACTCTTAATTGTGTCTGCCTTAAGAAAGGAAGTTGTTTGTAAATCTTTGGTTATAATTTTTTTTGAAATTTTTCAATTGAATCATCATTGTGGGGGGTTTCACCTTTCGGGAATTTTCAATCTCAAGTGTTCACTTTTCAGTGTTATAAAGCTATTCTTAGCTTGTTGTAAAATACTTTTATGTGAATTTTAGAAGATGCTGATTGTCATAAATAAATTTTGTTTTCTTTCTAGGGTGTCTGTGATTTTTTGTTTTCAAATTTCATTTACAATTCAGGGAGATCTGGGATTGCCAGGGAATTTTATTTTAACACCAAAAATCAGGGTGTGTTGCAATTTTTTGACAAAAATATGGAACATTCCAATATCATACCTGGAAAATAAGTCTTAAAATTGTCAGTAACAGTAATCAGTTACTGAGATTAGAGTTAAATAATTCTTACATCTATTACAATTATTATTTTTTTTATAAAAATTTCAAAATTTAATCAAACTAAAATGTTCCCATCCTCATTTAATATTTTTTTACACGCAAAATCTAATATTTCACAAAACAAATAAAAGAATCTAAGTTTTCTGATGAAAATATGGTCTAAATGTTCATTGAAAATTCACCTGGTATACCTGGAACAGTCGGGGAATTTTTTTTTTCGCAAATTGAGTGGGAACTCTGCAGTATATATAAGTATAACAGGGTTGGTAGTTGTCCTGATTTTCCTGATAAAAATATTTGTCCAGATTTCCAGTGATATGTTATGGTATTTCTGGCTTATCCTTACCCATAAGATTTATTGGTTTCAACCTCTTTGGGATTCTATGAAATTGAATTCTGTTATCAATTTTGCTTAATCAAATTTTGATATGATTTTTAAGGATGATATGCTTACTTGTACTTTCAACAAATGCTGTGAAAAATCTCAAGAAAAAAGTTGTGTAATTTCACAGTTACTAATGTCCCTTCCATGTGAATTTAAAAATGATTGATTCCATTCAACAGTTCAGCAATATCATTGAATTTTTGTCTGATTAGTGATTGTCCACTATACTTTTGTTTCCAGATTATTGAAATTCTACTTTAAAAATATTTGAACTCTATTACAAAATTTAGTTTATATTATTTAGTATTAGGGAATGTGGTACTGTTTTTTTCTCCTCCTTACTGCAACAGTGCTAAAAGAAACTTTATGTATGAAATTGAAATTATTAAAAGTTGTTTAGGATTGACAAAATGATTCTGGAAACTTTCTGTTTTACACAAAGTAATTATGGAATTTGAAAATAGTAAGTTTCATTATTCTATTGTGTTAAATTTCATTTTACCTCTCTTAAGTAGACAGGGTGCGTAGCGTTTGTAAAAAGTACTTACAAGTGCTTTTTTGGTGATTTCGTTTTTAAAAGCTTTTAAAGGTGCATTTTTCAGCTGGCATTTTTAAAAAGTGCTTTTTTTTCCCCTTCAGTGACATCTGGTGGATCCCATGCATTTCACGAAAAATGGGGTGTTTGCTACGTAATCATTCCCGCGGACTTCATGTTGTACGGACGTTATGACTTGCACATGCACGCACACTTAAAACTGAAACCAGATTGCTCCAATTCGGATGGAGAATATCAGATCCTTATGAAATGTTTTTCTTTTTAATTTTATTATTGTTTATTTTATTTTACTTCTAACACTGCAACTTCTCTTCTGCAGTCACTCCTAATTATATAACCTTTTGTGGAGAAACCCCGAAACTTTCAACTAAGGTAATTCATTCTTGCATAACTTAGAAAATCCTGATCCGATCGCTTTGAAAAAGGAAAATTTTTGTCGGCAAGAATTTTGCCTACTTATTAATAAGAAATACATTGGGGGTTATTTTCTCTCAAAATAATGTTAGAATTGCACAATTTTTCTTATTGAAATAATTTTTTAGTGTCCATCTGAGAAACTTAGCCACATAAATTCAGATTAGTATTTACAAATTTGTAACAATCTTTAAGATCCACATAGATATTTTAATTTTGAAAATATATTTGAATTCCCCATTTTTCAAAGGATTCTCTTTGCTCTGGAAAACTTATATTTTTTCTGGTAGAATAATAAATGTGATTAAAAGTATACTTGTGCATAATTATTTATTTAAATTATGCTGAATATAAATTTATTTATGAAATGTGTCATTAGTGATTTTACTTGAGACATTTTCCGGATTTTTGAGTTGGGCTCACAATCACTCCCTGGTAATTATACCGGAAATAGATACATTTTCTGTTCCAAACAAATTAGTTCTTAAAATAAAAATTTTACATTTTATTCTTATGATTTAATGCAGCAAATTATACTTTTTTCAATTTGCCTTTTTTAAAAGTAGTCTTGCATAAGCATACTGCTCCTAAAATCCCCCCCACTTTTTTTTAAGTGTTCTGATTTGATTTTATTGATGATCCTTATTATTAAATTATCCTTCAATAACTTCTCTTTGTACTTGAATTACAGTCAAACCACAATAATGCATTTAATGACTATGGAGAAAAGCTACTCATTTTCTCACTGTTTTTGACAAAATAATCACCTTTTTTGAAGTTTTCATGCACTCCTTATTTTTCGAAGGAGACTTAATGCATGGATCGTTATAATGGGCTCGTAAGAGACTAGTATACTGTATAATATTTTTATGTAGTGAAATACTAACGTGATTGTTTGAATTTCAGTATTTGAGGACATGCATTGTAATATTGTTTCATATTTTTATTCAGGTTCATAGATAGACTAATTTCAGAATATAATGTCATAACCCCAGAGTATCTGCTCACCTGGAAATTCATGAATTTCAGTATTGAACAAAATTTTTAACTATTTTTTTAAAAAAAATCAGGAAAAGTCATGTATTTAGGTCGCCAAAAAAATATTATTTTTAAAATGGAGTTTACCCCCCCATATTCATGGTGTTCCGAATATCTGAATTTGTAACAAAATCCCCACTCACAGTCATATTTGATTAAAATATAAAATGTTTTTATCGTGCTCTTTAAAAATTATGGCGTTCTTTCAAGAAATGAAAGAAAAAACATTTCTAGAGCGAATCATCTTTTAAACTTCTGTGATTTCAGAATTTTATTTTATCAATTTAAAATTTTAGATGCAGCAAGCTAGTCATTGGCGAATTTTTTTATTCCGAAATGAGAACTGAAAAATCGGGAGTATTTCTTTCCTTTCCGATGAACAAGAAAAGTATCTTTAGAATGTGATTCTGCAGAAGAAAAAAATTTTTTTTTGCTCTTGTATTTTTTTCAGCTATTTTATTGCTTCAACTCTTTCTTTACTCTGTTTTTTAAATTTAAAATCTTTAAATATCAAGATGTAGAGTAAAACAGCTTTTTGGTTATACCAATCATTTCAATGAATGTTATTATTAAGGCCCGGATTTTGATGACATTTGCATTTTTGGTCCTTTAGAGCATTTTCTTTAAATTTTGGGGCGTATTTTGCATTTTAAAGCATTTTTTGATAATTTTTATTATTACACTGGCTTCCAAACAATGAAGAAAATCTCTAGGATATTAAAAGGTGAAGCAACATCTTTTCAAATTGAAGAGGAATTGTCAGTAAGTGTGACCGTCCTTTTCAAGTACGCACCAATAACATCAGTAGACGTTGAAAGAAGCTTCTCCTGGTATAAAAATTTGCTTTCAGACAAGAGACGCTCGTTTACATTTCAAAATATTAAAAAAAAAATTTAATAATCCACTGTAATTCTGATATTTAGTAATATTATGAGATGGAAGTTGTTATATTCATTTAAGTTTCTATACAAAATGAAAATGTTTTGGAGTCAATATATTTTCCTTTTTTTTTGTTGCTATTTTAGGATATAAAACATTTTTCAAACTTTAATGAACGTAGAACAAGTATTGCATTGCTTTATATTTTTGAAACGACTCATAATAATTTTAAAGAGTAAAACATTGTTTTAGTTCAATATTTTTACTTCTATTTAAGTCATGCCATTAGGCATTTTTAGCTCAATTTTTGCATTTTAAGGGCATTTTTTGCACTTTTTAAGGGCATTAATTGAGATTTTTTAGGTCATCAAAATCCGGGCTCTAGTTATTATAATGCTTTTTTAAATTTATTGTTGTGTTTTTGTCTGAGAGAATAGTAACTTCGTTAAGTCATGAAAAATTCTTGGAATTAGTCATGGAAAGTCATGAATTTGAAAATCTAAAATGTAGCAGATGCCCTGTAACCTTCAATTTAGTTAACTCATAAAATTTTAGCAAGTTATTTTAACTGTTTTATATGTGTAACAAGATCTTCTGCTGTGATGAAAGTGTAATAAAAAAAATTCTCAAGTTTGCTGTTTTAACTGAGGAAGAAATTTACCAATTTTCCCAGTTATTTCTCAAAATATATACATCTTACTAAATCTTTTTATGATAACTTCAAGAAACAAAACGTTTATCAAGAAAACATTGACTGATTGGAAGTAACAAAATTTTTATATGTTTACAGTCTTGCGTCAATTAGCAGCTTTACAAGATTGCAATTCAAATTGAGGATAAAAGACTAACAATCTAATATACGGTGCAGAAAAGTTTATTTGCGCAATTACTTTATCAGTGGAATAAACTCTTGGAGATGCGAAGTGTTGTTAGCAAAGTGGTTACGAAACTTGTACTGTGTATGCTACACATTAATCTGTCAGCAAAGTTATAGAATGATTATGCAAATAATTATATATGTATAGTAATTTTAGCTGCCCCTTCTAATCCTATGAAAAAATTTCATGCTAAGGAGTTTTTTTATGATCAGTTTCATTTCTTTAAAATGAAAAAAAAAATATTTTTAATTATACATTTAAAATTTATAAAAACTTAAAAATGTTTTAACTTGTTCCTTAGTAATTATACTTCTAAGTTGTTATTTCAATTCTGCAAGCAAGTTACAAAATAAACCTGAAGCACGAAAATTTCCTGATGTAAGAAGATGTTGCCTATCTGTAAAACTCTTGGAAATAGAAATTGTGTTAAAAACAATTGTAATTGGTTTCTCTGAACGAAATATGAATCATAAATTCCAAATTTGTGTTAAATATTCTCCGCAAAAAGGGTGTGATTTTTTTTTTTTAAAATAAGCAATCATTAAGTCATGCAAAGCAAGTTAGATAACAATTTTATTGTAAAATAAATCAATAAATTAACAGAAACTTTTTTAACTGTCAGGAATATCATATTTAGAATAATAAGTGTTCCTTTGACAAATTAATCACATTATAAATTACAAGTACTTGCTCTTAAATTTAGCACGTGAGAATATCATGCAATGTCACTCACAAAATTTGAGAACTAAAAAATGTTTATAAAGGAAAGTAATCCCCTCCAATATTGTCGTATAAAGAAATGGCGGATTTTATATATAAGCCAGCATACTTTTTTGTGGCTGAAAAATTTATCAGCCAAATTGAGTAACTTAACATTGACTACCTACTGAAAAATTTTAATTAATTTGAAAGTTCTGCATTTTATAAAAATAAAATAGCCATAAGTCTAAAAAATGACTATTTTTTCTGTACCCAACTATTATATAAATTCAAATTTTATTTTGTAGATCATAATAGAGCATAGGATAAAGTAATAGTTTTGAATCATTTTATTTTGTACACCTTTAATAAAGTTTCGTATACAAGGATTGAATACAAAATTGTGCATTATTATAATCCCTTGCCAAAAAGAGGTATTTAAAGGTGTCCAAATATAAATAATTTTGTACAACATTTACTCAATTCTTTTACCTGCTCCTATGTACAGGGGAATCGTCAAATTCTATTAGTTGGTGAGGGTTCTCTTGTTAGAGCAAGACAGCTTCTTGGAATGCATTTCGCATTTAACTATCTACAGGGAATATTTTATTACAGTTATTAAAAAATAAGATTTAAAAATATACACATTTAGGGTCGTAAACTAATATTTATTAGACAGAAAAAAAACTTAGAATCTAATTCTTAAAGAGGAAGATAAAAAATATTAAAATCTGAATTGCTGGTGGAAATGAGAGTTGAACAGCGATTATTAAGAACAAATTCATCGATATATTAAACTGATCTTTGTACTTTTATTTACTTTTTTCCATAGAGTAAAATCTGATTTTAATAACGTTTTTGTCTTCTAAATGTTATTTGAGACTCCTAACTCAGGACATTTATTATTTTATGCTCTTTTGACAAGGATTATAAAGAGCCATGATTGTAGTCTACAATTTGTATATTTCCCGGTATGCTCCATTAAAATTGGCAAGGTTTTCAGTTATATGTCATGATTCAAAATATACTTTGTAAGTTTTTGATAGCATGATGAAATATAATCAATTTTGATTATAAAAAAAGATTCTGCAAAATATCTCCCCATTGTGATACTTTGATGTGTGGTTGAAATTGATTATGAGAAGTTACTGGAAGCAGGAGATCTCTTTTGTTTGAATGGAATATAATCAGTCTTGGTTATAAAATGTTTCTGTAAGACAGGTACCCGTTGTTTATGATGAAATGTGATCAATTTTGATGATAAAAAGCTTCTGGAAGATAGATCCCGTTTGATGTCCTGAAAAATTGACTATGAGAAGTTTCTGGAAGACAGATCTCCTTTAATTAAATTAAATGTAATCAGTTTTGGTTATAAAATGTGTCTGGGAGACGCATCCCTTTTATTTATGTTGAAATGAGATCAATTTTGATTATAAAAAGTTTCTGGAATTTGCGGATTTCCGCTGTGATGGTTTGATGTCCTGATGAAATTGATTATGAGAAGTTTCTGGAAGCAGGTGATCTTTGTTTGGATGGAATCTAATCACTTTTGATCCTAAAATGTTTCTGGAAGACACAGATCATCTTTTGATTATGATGTAAAGTGACCGCTTTAAGGACACAGATCGCTTTTGAGACGACATTATGAAATGTAATCAATTTTGGTTACAAAAAGTTTTTGAAAGACACAGATTCCCTTGGATTGTGATGGCATGAAGATATATGACAAATTTTGATGAATTTAAAATGTTTGTAGGATACGTGGATCAACTATGATTGTGATGATGAGAATCTATCATATTTGAAATGTTTGTGGGAGACACTGGTACAGGCTTCACTATTGCCTGTAATTATGATTCACACATGCATCTTCTTCTTTGGGTTTCTTTTTGGGTCTAAGTAAGATCTTCTCCATGACTACAAAAGGTGATTCATATAGTAGTGATAAGACTAGTGATAGTACATATGTAAGGAACATATGTCCTATGAACATATACAGCTGCAACAACATTAAATCAATATTAAAATATATTCGAAGCAATTGAAAACATAAATTTTGAAATATTTGTAAAATTATTAGATGAATTTTATTAGAAAATTATGTAATTCAACGGTTAGAAAGAATTGTAAAAAATAGAGGAAAGTTGGGTTAAGATTCTAAGTTTTATTCTCAATGGAGATTCTAAGGTCAGTTAGAGCGAGACTGTTCGACTTAATCGAGATATTCATTGTTTAGTTTTGTGTAGTACATCATTCCTGAAAAGTCAGATTTACTAATTTTTTTTATGTATGTAAAGCGTAGCGTTTTTAAAAAGTACTTAAAGTTGCTTATTTTCGTTTTTTAAAAGCCCTAAAAGGTGCTTTTTTTAATGGGTGTTTTAAAAAAATCCTTAATGTTTCCTTTTCTAAAATGAGATGGTTTTTTTTTTATCATGTGGGTTTTTGCCACGAATTATGCAAAAAGCTATTTTATTTAAATGTTTCCACAATTCATTCAACCACAATAATAATAATATTAGGATATGCACACTAATAAAAAAAAACTTTCTTTCTATTATTAAAAGCTCATATGTATGTATATATAATATACATACATATGAACTTTCAATAATCGGAAGAAATTTTTTTTTTATTAGTGCGCCTTTCCTAATTATATTTGGGGAGATTTCCGTATCGTGATCTGTAGCAGAAGAATCACCAAGCCTTGGCAACTTCCGGGCAGCACTGACCGCGAGAAACTAAAATACACATCACAGAAAGGGACCAGCTCGAAAGATATAACTCGTAGCCCAGCCCCGGGCAAACATTTACATGTTTTTTTTTTTAAATTTGCAAGTTTAAAATCAATTTTTGGCGATTGTAGTTAGCGAGACAGATCACGATGCGGAAATATCCCCTTATATTTATTTAAAAAATAAAGAGTTAAAGAATATTCTTTGAATGCTTGAAAGGTGCTAATTTTTTTCTTCAAAAAATTGGCTGCGCACCCTGAATGAATTTTTAAAGAAAAGTCAAACAGTACCGAGTCAGGGGTCTGTCCAGACATTTTGTGAAAGGTCCGTTTTTCGTGAAATTGTGAAAAAATTACTCACATTCTTTCAACCAGGGTCCGCTTTTATGAATTTGTGCAAATAGGGTCCGTTATTGCAACAACAAAAAAATTTTTCAAGGAGTTTTTCAATTGTAAAGACATACAAGATTATGCTCAACACTGTAAAATTATAATTAAAAAAATTAAATTTTAAAAAATAAACAACAATTGCTGCTTCTAAATTAGAGATGCAACATACAAATATTTGGTATTTAGCCTATATTGCTGAACGCAGAATATTCATTTTGGACGAATAATGGAAGAATCGTCTGCCGAAGACAAAACTTAATTCGTTTACATCCATCTTTCTTGTTTTCTGGCCTGGAAAGGGTTTATTCGATTAACAAAATAATAATGAAAGTACAAATTTGTGAAGGGTCCGATTAAAGAGAAAAATCATTTTGTGAAGGGTCAGTTTTTAAGTTAAAATATTTTGTGAAGGGTCCGTTTTTATGAAAAGATATTTTGTGAAGGGTCCGTTAACGGACCCAAATTTCTTCTAAACAGACCCCTGCGAGTACACGTATTAACTCTAAGGGAAATTTAGAAATACAATTATACAATATGACAATTTAAGAAAAATTATGCATGTGATGTAGTCAAGATCGTACCCAAGGAGAGAGTTGTCCCACGGCTGCCGACGGCCCGACCTAAATTTCTTTCAAAAATAGTGTTTAATTATAAGTTTTTTTTAAAAAAGAAAATTGCAAAGAATTCCATTATATCTATATATAAACTACAAATTTGTATAAAGTGTTTTGTAAAAATATGAAAATAAGGCTTTTTGTGCTTTTAAGAAGGGATTTGTAATACATTTTTTCCTGGTGTCCGTGATACCTTGGATGTAATTATCTTCATCCTAGGCTGCACTGCAGCTTTCGTGGGCCCAGCATTGATACACATCAAAGATAGAGAGGGCAAAACAGGATATTACTCGATCTTATCCCGAAGCAGAGGCTTTTCTTTGGCGCAGTATAACCGATTATGTCTCTTCTATGATTAAAAATATATTCAACTCAATTTGTACGTCGAATTTTCTTGGTAGCTAAAATTTTTCGTCCTCAAAGCATCACAACAAAAATGTCTAGAAAGTGAGATATTCCTTAGTCTAATTCAATCGTCAATACAGCACGGCTAAAATTCCAGAAAACAAAATCTGCCACGCATACCGTACTTGCCAACTTTTGCTCATTCCAAAAATGATTTTTCCAAGTTTTAGCAAAAATATATTTCTATTTTTCCAAAGCTACATCGTAAAATTAGCATATGTATATGTGTTTATTTATTTTTTTTAAGTGAAAGAAAGGTTAAAATCATTCTAAATTAAGTTTATAAAATCTAAGAATAAAACTAAAGAAACAGGTTTTGGTATCACTTTAAATGTAAAAATAAAATCTTCCGAGCAAATTGACATCAATGACTTACCGATTGTTGAAAGTATAATGTTTATAATCATGAATTTTAGTTGTAAAATATTCAACACATATATGTGTCAAATGGAAATCCGAAATCATTTTTTTAAAATTAACGGAAGAATATTGTAGAAGATGTTTCGTCACATTTTAGTCAATTTAAAAATATCCTACATATGTTGAACCAAATAGAAATGCGAAATCCTTTTTCAAATTTAATGGAAGAATTTAGTAGAAAAAAATAATTCGTCACATTTCAGACAAAATTAAAATATCAACTTTAAAAATTACTCCAATTGCTTACAATATATCTTTTTTCATTATTTTTCATTCATTTATTAGAGAGAGAAAAAAATTATGTTATATATTTCAAATTAGATTTAACTCAGAAATGTGTGTGCTTGATTGTTTTGAACTATTTTTTTTTTTATAAAAGTGCCTTTAGACAATCTTGTCTTCCGGCATTTTCCTCATTCTCTCAGAGAAATTAAGAGCCATAGATCACAGACACGATAACTAATAAATTAATGGTGTTTATTTAATCTTTATAAATTTATCATGGCCGTTTTCCTGCACGGTTTCCACTAAGTGACATTTCATGGTCATTCGGAATGCGTATCGCCAGTATTATATGTCATCACAAAACATATCCGACTACTCAAAACAACTTTGGCTATACAAATACGTTGAAAATATTCTTATTGATAAAAAACAAAAAGAGGAAAGTATGTAATTGCAACCTGTTTACATAAAAATAAAGTGGACATATCTAACAATCGAGAACGAGCAAAATGCGACCTACTGAATAAACAAAAATATATTCAATGTCAGTTTTCTTTAGCGAAATTATTCTTACAAATAAAATTATTGCTGAGCGATTCTAGGCTTGAATTGAAATGTTGCTAATAAGTAGATTTGCTGTAAAAATTATATAAGAAAATAGAGTTTAACATTTAATAATTTTTTTAAATAAAATTCTAACAATAAATTAATATTAAAGGGACCAAACTATTCATCATTCTTCAGATTAAATTAATGCAACCATGTTTTCCAGATACCGGCTGCCCCTCTTCCCATAATTTTTTTTTTTTAATCAAATAAAATCCATAGAAAAAAAAAGTTTGTTTACGCAGGGAAATTGCGCTTCTTTACCTAATTTCATGATTTTTTAAAATTTATCTTCACACATTATTGTATAATGGTGAGTGTGCGGGTGGGTGATCACTTGGATCAGTCTGCGTAGGGACCGAGGGTGTGCGGTATTGATCCTCGTTTAACTGTTCTACCGTAAAGTGCTCGACTTCGCGTGCAGGTCGTCGGGCTACCGAAGCGAGAGTGCCATCCCCTCTGCGGAGGATCAAAATTGTGATGACATGTCTTCGGATCATCCTCAGGAATGCTTCCCAGTCGGTCGCCAATAGCCCATTGTGCAGCTCTTGTGCGACGTAAATGAACAAATCAATCACACATTATTAATCTTAGTACTTATATCTTAATACTAAAAATCCTATCATTAAATCAAAAGTTATGAAGATGTTTTTTTCATTTTGAGAAACATATGTATGTACTTACCATAAAATCCAAAGAGAATTCTCTTGGGCTTTCGATAGAACCATAAACGGCACTTATTATTACTGGATGAATGAGATATGCTGGAAATGTTAAACGACTAACTGGGACCCACAAAGACCACGATAGAATTGTATTGACGATACCTATTGAGAAAAGAAAGTAGAATGTAAAAACCCGAGTACACGATATTTATTGAGAAGAAAAAGTATGCAGTAACTACTCGATTATACAATATCTATTGAGAAAAGAAAATATACAGTAAACATCTAACTATACGATAACTATTGGAAAAAGAAAATGTACAAATATCTGTAGCCAATGGTATTTTTAATAACTCCTGTTACCAAATGTTGTTTTTCAATATTATTGCCAAAAAGGTTCATCGAGTAATTAACACATTGTTAACCACTTAAAGAGCGTGATTCTCCCTTAAAGGCCCACTGTATAATATCTGAAACGAGACTCTGACTTTAGCCACCCAAGATCACATGTGCTTGATCTCATACGGAACTCTAATAAGTATGCGTACTCTTTCGTACGTGAGGGCCAGCGGAAGAAGCGCTCCTTCCTCTGGTCTTGAAGATGCTAACTCTTTCCGCCAGTCTGGCAACATATAATTCTATAAAGTTACAAACCACTAGAAATGTAAAACTATTTGCTTCCAGACGTACAGCAACCACTATTCTTCAAGCAACAAAGAGATAAAGTATGCCTCTTCAATAAAAATACTATGTCGAAGGTCGCAGTTGCTAGGGCTGCCTGACTAAAATTTGCAACCGAAATTTGTTGTTCCTCAAAGGGTTGAAGGAACTTCAAAACTATCTCTTCCAAAATTATTGCCGCTAATGATGGGAGATAGTTATAATGGGATTTAGAACTCTATATTGGATGTAAAGTTGTATACACTACCCTAGATTAATTAGGAGCCATCCTCCTCATCCTGAAAATCAACTTGTTCAGCATGTCAGAAGAGCTTCTTTAGATGTTATTTTTTATGTTCCTCCAGACTTTCAGATCAACGAATAAATTTAAATCAACATTTAGAACCATTTCCCAAATTCCCATTACAAGAAGACGAGTGAACCAAAGATGAATGACTTGCTCTTTGTCTGGTGTAAAGGTAGCCAAAGCTAACGAAGATAAGGCGGCCAAGATTTTTTTATGTTATAGTATCTAAAACTCTTTTTATTATAAGTATAAGAACGATAACTCTGTTAAACATTTAAAAAATATATATTAACCAAATACTTCACTGAATATTAAAACATTGAATGGGGAAGGAAAATGTAGATGAATTGACTAAAGACTAGAATTTACGAGATTTTTCTTAATTAGCAAGAATTCTTTCAGTATAACATTGGATAACAATACCTCCATATCCATAGTAGCAGGCAAAAACAAGCCAGGCTAGACAGACACCCCAAGCAGTTCTGGCCAATGCACTGTAGGCAGCTGCTTCGGCATTGGTCGGCAGGATACCTTGATTAGCAGGCCACATGAGGTATATGATAGTCAATCCAGATCCTATGCTGAGTAGCCAACATACTACTACCAGTGACTGTGTTAGAAAAAGGATTACGATTAAACAATTTTAAATATAGGTTTACAAAGTCGTTCAGTGTTATTTATTTATATTAAATTCAAACTGAGTGTTGTATTGAAGAACATTGAACTAAGAAATTAAATAAAGAAAAAAATATTAATAAAAGCTTCTTTTTAAAACTACCGCTTATATGATATAATTAATAAATATTAGAATTATATAATAAATATTACGAAAGAAGTTCATTTTTCTTTTAGTTGAAATTTTCGATACAAAAAAGGAAAGCAAGGACTACCAGTGACTNATACCTACTGAATATACATATAAAATTTCATCAAAATCGATCCAGCCGTTTAGGAGGAGTTTAACCACTAAAACTGTGACAAGAGATTTATATATATATAGATTACGAAAGAAGTTCATTTTTCTTTTAGTTGAAATTTTCGATACAAAAAAGGAAAGCAAGGATGTCAGTTTTTTATTTTTATCGAATTCTGTCCAAATCCAAAATTCATAAATTAGTGATTGAATTTTTTATTTATTCAATTTATATGAGACTAATTAATAGTAGAATATCAAAAAAGCATGATTTAAGTTGGTTGGATAGCGATACGTAACGTTAAAATTTGATAATTCTCGAAAATGTTATTAACTAGATATAATATAATGAAGCTCTGGATAAAGATGGTTTTATGATAAATTTTTTTATTCCATTTTATAACTAGTGTCAAACAACAGATCCATAAAGACTTCGTGCAGCTAATAATGCTCAGTACCAAATTCTTATAATTTTGAACCAACGAATCGTCAACGATTGGATATATTTTGCGTCAGTTTTATAATTGGTGAAAGCAGGGAGCTGTATATGATTATCATATACAGCTCAACATATGATACCGCCAACATATGATTATCACTAAAGGTTCCACCAGCATATTATTACACAATAATGATTCAAACTATATATGATCTATACGATTAATAAGTATGATTATATTATTAAATAAGTTTAATATGATTATATAATAAAGAAGCCAAGTAAAGGATTATCTAGCATGTGATAAGTTAAAAGAGATGAGGGGTGCCGTCAACTAGTGAAGTCATAACTAGTAAAGAAGATCTGAAAAACACGCTGCGTCACTATAAATAGTTTACAAAAAAAATAAAATTTCATCGATGAAAAAATTTATTAAAAAAATAAAAACTTTAGGATTAGTTTTGCATTTATTGCAGTACATTGGAGTTGGCAAATATCCCATTTCCAAATTATGCAGCGACTCAAAAATGTAGGCTATTTAAAATGGGTTATTGCAAAATTTTAGACCTACAGTAAATTTTGATAATAATGTTTTAAAAAGATAGCTACAGTAATGTTTGAAGAAGATAGCTAAAAAAATTTCATGCCCCACTTTTAACTCTTAAGTACATATTTAGGTTCCAGAAATGACCTAAAAAATGATTATTTGATGGCTTCGCAAATAAATTTTGTTTTTCGTTCAAAAAATGCTACATTCTTGGTGTCATATAAACAAACTTTGTAAAAATTAAAAAAAAGGAACAATGCTGGTCATTTGATTGAGTAATTAATGGCTACTTTTAATATTAAGAATAGTTTTTGGACAGATTCGTGAGGTGTTTCACCAGATTGGGATACTATTTACCTCTCTCAAAAATGCAATTTAAGAGGGAAAAAATTAAATTTATGGCGCTAAATTTTAACTAAAAACTTCGTCCATTATAGTTTTGAAAGTCATTCGAATGTCTTTAATTTTCTATGCAGGAAATCCATTTCACATGAAATGATAATTTTTCACGAAAGGAAAGAAAAAATAAATCCCCTCAAAAATCGCAGTTTTTGTTCCCGCATTATTATGCAATCTAAATGCCAAAAATGGAGCCATTTTATTTTTTGGCGTGATTATCTTTTCAGTTTAAAAAAATTCGAATCAAATAAATCGAAAGTCCTGGTCTTTTGGCAGTTCCTAATTCTTATACTATTAGTTAAATTACATTTCCAATATGCAACTTACTTTATTAAGGACGCATTCCTTTTTCTTATACATGAAATATCCGATAGCCATTCCAACAATGAAAGGTCCCATTCTGCAATATGGTTTTATGTACACGTTCTTGTAATACTCATTCACCAAGTCTAAAGGCCTACAGAGAAAAATTAAAACAATTCCATATAACTAATCAAACTTAATGGCAAAAACACAGACATAGTATTTTATACAGAGGTTGGTCACATTGTAGCTAAAAAACATTGTGGTATAGTCACTTTTCGTTTAATAGATCATGTTTTAAATACTGTTAAACATTTTTTATGTCCTGTAAATTTATATTGATGAAAGCAAAATGAAAGTTTTTATTAAGTATTCATTGTATGGAGAGCAAGAAGTCGAATACTCCAAAATTGAAGTGCTTCATTCTCAAAAGCTAGGGAAAATGCTACAAACAGGTACCGATGAATTCTTAAATCACATGCAAAAAGGAAAACGTTTGTAATTACAATTGGTCCATTTAATAGGTCGTGGGAATAATATGGTTCTAACGCCTAAAGAATTAATTCTTACATACTTAAATCTAAAAATAGAACCAAATGGATGGGAATAAAAAATGGTGAGAAAGCGTTTAGTTTTGAATAATAAATTAAGAAGGAGAATTTAGATAAAGAAATAACATAAAAAAGATCTAGTTAAAGCTTTTTATTACGCTTATATAGACTAAGTCACGTCTTAAAAAGCTTTCTTTTTTGCAACTAAGTTTATTTAAAGTTAAAATAAGTGAATTAACTAACGAACTTCATTTACAATTGAAAATATTATACCAATGTACAAATGATTTTTCAAAGTGAACAGTCTCATTGAAAGTTCATACGTCGTTACCTCGAAACTATGAAATAGATTGTTGGAAAAATTAGCAGGTAAATGTACTTGTGGTGAAATATCTTACGAATTTATTCAACACAAATATTGTAACCATTCGAAACATGCTTCATGACTAATGTGGTCAAAACTCACCAATTATGATGCATCCCTACAAATATTATCTTTTACTAGATGTGATATTTATATTGAGTTAGCAGCTAAATTCCACCCGGGATTTTTTTTAAACTATTTTTATTTTCATAGTTTAAATTTCGGGAGCATTCCATTTTCTCTGCCAGTTCTTTCCTAGTTTGGTGCGAATTTTCAAGCAAAGGTTGGTTTAAACGCTCCTCTTCGAACTCAATACTCAACTGGACAGGCAGAACAAAGTTAAGGTCGAAATTTCCATTTTTTAACTTTGGCGTACCAGTCATGAGCAGTTTTATGAGCTATGGAACCCTCTTCAGACACAACACAAATGTCAAGAGCAGCTTTTACTGCCTTAGAGCCTTGATTAAAATCAAAAAGAAGGAGGTATCGAATGCTGACCAGCTGACATTCAATTTTAATAACCTGAAAATCGATATACATTAATTCACACAAAAAAGAAAAAAAATAGATTCCGGTAGAGCAAAACATTCTCTTTAGAATAATCTAATATATTATACCAAAAAACATTTAATGAGAAGCTGAATGTTGAAATTAAATAGAAAGAAGGAGGGAACGTAGAATACAACTCAATAGTTTAATTAAAATTGCAAGATTGCTTACACAACGTTGTTGATATATGGAATTGCAGGATAATGATTCTGAGCTGTGATGACTCCTGTGGCAATGGTGGTGGCGAGAAGAAATGCAATCATTGCAGCGATTCCAGCTTTCAAGTTCCTGTTAAACAAACATAATATATCACAATGAGAAAGAAAGATTGCTACAGTAACGAAAGAACGTAGTGTGTGACATAAAAACACTGTGTCATATCGTTTAAAAACACTGTTTCAAACAGTGATTTTATAAGTGTTTAAAAGTACTCAAGTAATGTACACACTGTTTTATATCATTTATTTATATCAGTATGGGGCATCAGTATGCATGTACCACAGTATGTTTTGATCAGTTGTGGTATAACAACTGATGTTAATTATACTACGCCAGTTGTCAAATCTTTACATTTACAAACAGGAAAAGGGATACAAGTAACAATTGTTTGAATTGCTGACATCATCTTTCTTCAGAAATAATTTATATAAAAAAAATTTTTTTCTCCAGTAAATCGGAAAATATTTCCTCCGAGCTGAAGTTTTCAAATTAGGGTACATGTACCCCTTGAGATACAAAGAGATCTGTGGAATCAAAATATGTAATAAAATTGAAATATCACTAAAATATGTCGTGAATTTACAATTTTTTTCTGGCAATGAATCTGCAACATTTTTAAAAAAATTTCTGGGAGTGTATGATAAAAAAGTTTTTTTTTAATATTCCGTACAGTTCGTGTTACATTGTATTTCAAAAGAATTTCTCTTCATCAGTATTTAGGTGATATAAATAATTATCCTGCAAATATATTTTATTCTATTTTCAGCAATATACATATACATATATATATTTTAATTCAGAACTTGTAAAATTACTATATATTTTTTTTAAATTTAGAGGTTGTAAAATTTAAAAGAATACAGTGTATTGGGTTCTTTAATTACATTGTTTTTTATATGGAAGTAGAGGATTTATATGTTAGAAATCATTATAAAATAGGCAGCACAATTTGTATAGTGTGTAACCTTTTCGCCATCTATGGCTTTACCGAGGTTCGACTCCCCAATGGTAAAGGCTGAGTATATGATCAGATATTGACTTAGTGGTTCGGAATTCACTATGATATGATGTTCTCGGCAGCTTATCTGAAAAAATTCTAGCTTATTAAATGATTTTTGTGTAGAAACTCGGTGATGACAATCATTTGCTCTCCGCTCTAAACAGCGGTAGAGTAGTACGCATATGTGTTAGTCGGATCATTACCAAGGATGAAACCCGAATCCTCAATTATAAATCATTGGTGTCAGTGCGGGATAACAAACCAAAACATGATAAGATACAAAATTAATCAAATTGTAAGCATATAAAAGTTAGAAGTCAGACAGCATTTGATACAATGCATTAAACAAATACCGTCATCAGTATCACTGTCTGTTATTCAACTATTATATATATTTATGCTTTTACCCGTTTCTATATTATTACAGTCTAGAATAGTGATTCTCAACCTTTTTTTTTGTCGAGGCACACTTTTAACGATTTCGAAATTTGACGGCACACAATGAAAAAAATTAGATTAAAATTTGTTTAATTACCTATTTTACACTGCGTTAAATAGTTTGTGATAATAATTTTGAATGTGAAATAAAATAATATGTATTACAAAAGCACATTTATTAAGGAATTAATTATTTCTTTCAACCAATTTTTTATTAGTTAGTAACAGTTATTTATTTTTTTGTTATTGATTAATTCTTAGTTTGTTTTCTATAGTTATTAACTGTTATTTTTCTTTTTTTTACATTAACTGTTATTTTTTTGTGATTTCTTGTTAAATAGTTTTTTTGCTAATTATTGATTGTTAGCTTAATTTTTGCTAGTTATCCTTTGTTAATTTGTTTTTTCTATATTTGTTTTTGTAGTTATCCTTTGTTAATTTGTTTATTAATTGCATAGCTTACTTTAATGATTAGCTCTTACAACATTTTTTAAAATTGTGTGTCATATACAGTTTAGGCACTTCCTCCATCTTATTTTAAGATTGTCAGAGATAAGACAATTGCCGACAATGATTTTCACGCGGTTAAAGCATGGAAAAATTATTAAAGAACAAAAAACATTAGAATTTTTATTGTATCATTTCTGATATTTGGCGGCACACAAAAGTGCCGCGGCACAGTGGTTGAGAATCACTGGTCTAGAACAAAGATAACTTTATTTATTTTGAACATACTTACCAGACAAGTGGAATGAGTATTAACGGAGATACAAGGTACATTTGCATATCCGCAGCCAAATACCAAGTGTGGCTGAGACACTGAAAAATAAAAAAATAATACAACTTTTCAGAATGAAAAACTCACTAAATCCAAATTTAAAAGAAATTAACAATTAATGTTGACTGAATCTAACCATTTCATTGGTGTTGTAGAAATCTTGAATAAAAAGAGCATTCACCCACCACTGCTTACGACACCACGCATCATACATCACGATACTGTTTAACCAGTTAGGACCTGAACTGAAATATCTCAGAAGAAAGGCGCAGTTAAATACGACAGCCATCATTAAGGGAGCCAGTCTGAAATAAAAATACTTGTAAGTAAACTTCTTTTTTTTTAACAGTCGGTTGAACAGCAGACTCAATTTCGGATTCAACTCTGTAGTCCTGCAATTTTGAACCCATCCAGAAGACAAGGAAACTCTCGAATAAGCACCCCCAGAGGTATGATTTGTTATGGGTACATAGAGGACTTTGTGACTTGTGATCATCAGTCACCACTTACTACATGGGGAGTCTTCATCCAGCGGAGATCGAACCCATGACCTCTTGGACATGGACCCAGTGCTCTACCTACCAGGCTATCCCAAGTTAACTTTTTTTTATATCCGTCGTTGAGCAGCCGACCAAATTTTGGGTTTACGACAACTAATGTTCAACTCCGTGGCCATGTAATTTTGAACAAATCCAGAAGACAAGGAAACTCTCGGATCAGTACCCCCAGAGGGACTGATTTGTGATGGGAACATGAAGGACTTTGAGACTCGACAGATTTAACGTGCATCAGTCACCATTTACTACACGGGGAGTCTTCGGCGGGCAGAGATCGAAACCACGAACTCTTGGACATGGGCCCAGTGCCCTACCAACCAGGCTATCCCGGTCCTAAGTAAATTTTTGTGCTCTTATCCCATTGCGGACTTTTACCTGGGTTATGCCACATGGATAATACACATAACCAGGGCCGTTTTATCCATTAGGCACTGTAGGCAACTGCCTAGGGACCCCGCCACGTTCAGGGGCCCTGTGCTACAGAGAAAAAAATTGACAATGTTTCTTAAACAGTAAAAATTTAATTCGAAATTTCAATGACGATTGTCTTGCTCTGTACATTACATCGACGCTATTTTAGTACATTTCTGAACGCATTCCAAATTAGATATTAATATTATGGTAGTTAGTTCATATATAACGCAGTAATATAATCGCAAGCAATTTTATCGCGGTAATTTTAACGCCGACTAATCAGATGACTATACAGCAAGAGCAGCTTTTTTAACACAACACGCTTGAAAAACGCGCAAAATTCTACGTTGTGAATGCACACTTACTGTTCTGGTACCTACCATAGGTATGTATATTCTATGGCCAAGCTACCAAAGAGTATGTAAAAATAAGGTTGGCAGTACTGGTTCTTTCGTCGCATGACTGGGGAATTCCCCGATCCGCTAAATACATACGTTGTATTGTGTCATAGACAACATTTTTGAGACATTTTTAATATAATCGTTGAATTTTCACTTCGTGCAATTGAATTTTCATTTCGGCTGAACGTTTCCTTAAATTTCTTCTCATACAGAACCACAAAGGGGAAGAACTAGCCACCGAGAATTGAAATTAATTAAAAACTGTCTTCGTTCAACTATGTCTCAAAACCGTTTAAATTCGTTGGCCATAATGGCAATTGAAAATGATGTATTGGAAAAGGTTAACTTTCAGGATGTTTTGTAACAAAAAAAGTTAGAAGAGTTAATATATAAGCTTATTGTATGATTTTTTTAAATGCATATATGAATTACTTATATTCTTTTCGTTTGATTCAATATTTTTATTGAATAATGTGATAATATACTATACATAATATACTGTGATATATAATAATTAGGGAGTTAGAAGGCGGTAGGGGAGGGGGCCCGAGACGAGCATTGCCTAGGGGCCGCGACATGCATAAGTCGGCCCTGCACATAACACATAACGGCGTCATACACATAACACATAACGGTTCACATAAACGGCGCATGTTATGAAAGGCATGATGAGATTAAATGAAGGGTCAAAATCGACCTTAAAGATTCTCTAATCAAGACAAGAATCGGCATGAATGGGAGTGTTCACTCCCATTTTTCGCCGTTTCTTGACCGTTTATAAGTAGAATTTATAGTCGATCTAAATTTCTACCACTTCTTAATTAGCTAAAATGCTTAAAGTTTAATTGGAGCTTAGTGCTTTATGACAATACAAAGCTTTAATTATTTTTAGTCGTTACAAGCAGAATTTGCATCGCCTTTTTTTCTTCTCCAAATTTAGAATTTATTATCAATTATCGATCCTTTTCCATTTAGCTAGAGTACTCAAATTTCAACTGGAGCTTTGTGTTTGATATTACTGCTTCGTAATCATTGTAAGTGAAATTTGCGACTATTTAATCAAAATTCAGACCGCCTTCTGACATCAGCAAACTGACAGTCACTGAATTGAAGCGAAGAAAATAGTAAAATAAAAAGTGATCATTTTAGAAACTAACTTTTTCAAGTAGACGAAATAGAAAAAATATAATGTTGTTTCTGTCAGATACAAAATGAAAAATATCGGGTGCATCACTTCTTAAATTTTTATGTAAGTGAGGGAAGTTTTAAGGAATATAAGTTTATTGCGAACTACGGCAGCAATAAACCCCAAATTTTTCTATCCAGTCTAGCAAAAATAAAGCTATTTTCTCCTTTGTAGAATACTTTAAATCACTTTTTAAAAATTTTATTTTATTTTTATATACACTATTAGGCCAAAAATATCTTGATACCTACCTAAAGGAAAAAAACAATGGGCGTGGTGGTTTTTTTTCCTCCATGGTATGACCTGTGTCCCCTAGTTCATGCAATTAAAAGTAAAGCATTCCCTCAGCAACCCGTCGTGGGCCATGGGGAGGTTAAGGCTCCACTTCATGACCAACGTCGTGGTAGTGATAATGTGATGACATAACACACAGGCAGCCTTTACAACCCAGACAAGCTAGTTCCCATCGATCTGAAGCTGGGTGGGCTTCAAGCTGCCACTGAGGACCGAACCTCAGTCCTTAAGAGTGACAGCTCAGTGCCTTCACCACTGAAGCCAACACGGCTCAGTTTTTGTAATTAGAAATATGATATCTCAACATATGTGAATATTCTGAACAATACTGCTCTTCCAACTCTGGCAATATTTCGGAGACGGCTCGTTTCTCTTCCCCAGCAAGGAAGTTGCTCCATTCACACACAATGGGTGCTCAAAAACTGGACTGGCTTTTTCAGGGCCCCGATCTAAAGCTCATAGATCATCTTTGGATGGAATTAGAATGCAGGTTACGTAGTCAAGCCAAATCGAACATCCTTACTGCCAGCACTCACTTGAGCTGCGATGAACACCTGGAACTCAATCCCCATGTCCACCTATCAAAAACTGTTGAAAAATCTCTCCAGACGTTTGCAGGCTGTTATAGATGCAAAAGGGGAGCAGAATCATATTAATGTGTGTTTTAAGACTCTCCAAGTCAGTACCACTGCTTATCCGGATAATTTTGGTCTGACAGTACAGTTATAGTAAAGTCAGAAGTACGATTTTAAAATCCTCACCTTACATATCTGTGAACATAGAAAACCAACATCCACGACCACTTCTTTTTAGCCGTTTCCAGGGTTTTAATTCCAGCATAACATACTAAAAGGCCACTAAAATAGATATTAGACATGATCAATATATGATATATCGGATATATTGGAACAATTATGTTTTTAAAACTATTCAGTAATTAATATGACTTAGTATGAAGTAATAGAAGAAGTAGGCAGCTTGTCCAATTTCGAATATTTACTAACTTACATATTTACAGACCTGCCAACTACTACTCTTTTTGCAAAAATTTTCATAGAGTGGTTATTTAAAAACCTTGGCTTTCAGAATTTTTGGCAATTTTGCCAGCATTTTAAAAGCCTCAGCACAAGAGAGGTGGTATAAAGTGAGGCTGCATATGAACTTTAAAATCATTTATGTGTAGTGGTGTGGAAAATAAGTTTAAATGAATAAAAAACAATGCGTTAAAGCATAAACATAGCTAACACTGGAATACATTTCTATAAAAAGTTATACATAAATAAACTTTTTAAAAAAATTTGGTAGTTCTTTATTTGTATTTTTACTTACTTATCGTGAATGTAAGCTCATAGGACATTTTTTAAATCTTCTTATAGCTTAAAAGGCGAGATATTTTTAAAATATTAAATGCAAAATTCATAATATTTTTCGTTAGTTAATTTTTTCGTTAGTTAATTTTTGCATGAGGAATAAATTAAGGTATTAAACGTTATTTATTTAAAAAAGTAACTATTGTTAATTTCTGACTAAAATTAGATGTTTAAAAAATAAATACCTGGATGCGAAGACTCAGCCATATTTCCAAATGCGTGCTTAAAAATAATATATATAGCTCAAGAGGTGCGTTGAAAAAAAGGAACATAGCTTGAAATCCGGTTTTAAAAAATATAGTGCAAAACACGTATTTAATGAAATGCATACATAGTCATTGTTTGATATGCACGTTTGAAAAAAATTGACTTCACTCAAAATGTCCGTTAATGAAACTGGATATAGTATAAAATGCGCCTTCTTAATGTTAACCCTTTTCTGTGCAGTGTATCCAGTTTGGTAACACTAATTCAATAAATGTTGCTAGAAATGTGAAACTAATTGCTTTTAAACTTTTTGCAATCACTGTTCTATAAACAACAAAGAGCCTAACTTAAAATGTATTATTTAGGGTTGTATTTGCGAATGCTCTGCCTGGCTAAAACTTCAAATCGAAATTTGCTGTTCTGGAAAGGGTTAAGTAACTGTCTTTTTGGTGTTTATGCTGTGGCCAAATTATTTAAATATTAACATGAGATATCGTGAGATTGGCTGAATTGGCTTTTCTTTCGGCATTGTCCTTTCACGTTAATGCGCCAATAATGGATAATACCACTGTTAACATGGATTTTGACTAGGCAAGTCATGGTGGATTTATTTCCCATGACCTGTCCTTATTGATAATATCATGCAAAATTAATTATTTCACTTATCAAGTCTATTCTAAATATTCTTCTGATTTTGTATCTCGAGCTCAACAAAAGTTACTGAATAAAAATTTTATTATATTTATGATCCTGTTTCCAAATTCAACTGTCATTTTCATTGCCCTGTTTTCATTATTGACTTCAATTATGCCATCTGCACCAGCACATCTCCAATTTCGGCATTATAGGCAGTGCTAGAAACATTAAAATGCTGTAATGTTTGCAGCTCTGTAATATTCGTAATCTATCATTGTCCAAGAAAGCGAACAAAATGAAGCAAAAAAGTATAAGTAAATAAGAATAGTACCTCATAAAGAAAAAAGTGTCAACAGCGAATGTTCCATTTGCAAATATCTGGTTAACAAAATCTTTTGGGGCATCAGAAGCCATTCCTGGATTTCCTAAATTACAAAGTTAAATCCATTCAGTTATTAAATTCTACAATAGGCTTGTTAGTATACTATTTGTAAACAAAAAAGTCGTTTTTAGGTTACATAATTTCTCTACGCTTTTCCTCTCTTTGTTAGCATGATTTCGGTAAATCTCACTTTTTCCCCCACGCAAGTACAATCCAATTTCTGGCTGAAAAGTACTGCCGTGGTGAAAAAGCAAGATTTGGGTTAACCAATCTGGAGAAGAAAAAAGTGTAAAGATAGCTCAACCGTACGACACCAATTCTATTTACAAAAAGCATAATCTGTGATTTTTTAAGTCCTCGTAAAGCTTTAAACACATTTGCTTATTTAATTGTCATTGCATTAATATTTTAACAATTGTGAAAGTTAGTAGGTTATGAGTAAAGATTATTAAGTGTAAAAAAAGAAAGTAACTTACGAACATATAAGACGGATCCGGCAAAAGAGAAAGAATGTCCGAAAATAATGAGGGCCATGCTGAGGAATCTGAGACCATGGAGGCAGGCTATGTTGTCACGCTCTTTCACAGAAAATATTTTCGGTGTATTAGTGTACAGTGAAAACGCCAGCAGATACTGCATTGTAGAGCTCGGTTCTGCAATAATACATTGAAAAAAGAAATTTAAATAGAACAAACAGGAGATAATCAAAAATTGGTAAAGAGTCTTATAACTAGGTAAATATATATATAGTAATAGACTATACAGGGTTATTCATAATTACTTCCGGGGTTTCGAAGCGTTGTAGTAAAAAAAAGAAGACGAATCTGAAAAAAAGAAACACATGAAATTATTCCGAAACTAAATTAAAACTCGAATACTTTCGGAATAATTTCATATGTTCTTTTTTGCCATATTCGTCTTCGTTTTTTTACTATAACACTTCGAAATCCCGGAGGGAATTATGAATAACCCTGTATATATTTGCCTAGTGCTCTATATATTTACCTCAGGGATCTATATATTTATCTACATAATATATTTACCTCAGAGCAGTAAATGACTTACAAAGTGTTGGAGATACATATAAATCTTTCAATAGCTTTGCGGTGTTTGAGTAAAAATTTTGTCATGGCTTCCTAAAAGAGTGCAAGAAAAATGTTTGTGTGCCGTCAGAGGTAACTCCCGAATACGATGAATTAAGATTTTTTTTTTTAGTTTTCGCTACAACCCGGAATGAGTGTCCGTGTGGCCGTAGGCGAAGTCGATATTCCATCACTCTACAATATCATTACAAATCCGAACTGTCGGTGTACAGCAACAGAAAATGGCATTTACCGATTCGTCTCAGTTATTGAGGCTATAAATATGATGTAAGATTTAAGTCGGGAAGAAAGAAGAGGAGCTTAACTATCCTTCTTTATCACAAAGTCAGTAAGTTGCGTCTTGAATAGTTGATAAAGTCTGGTATCTTGATAAGCTCCTTGAGTTCTGTAAAAATGTATGACAAGTCTGTCTCGGTGATGTAGCAGACGAAGAGTGTTTCTTTGTCATGTACTTTGACATTTTATTGAGTCGGGTATAGTTTGTATACGGTGAGAACTCCCCCCGCCACAAAGTCTGAGGCTGTCTGCTGCTATGGAAACAAGAATAGGATTCATTCCAGGGAGGGTAGAGCTAACACAGTAGGAAAAAGATTTCCTTTCTCTCGCCGAGCAAGCCAAAACCTGTCCTAAACAATGACCCCACACCTTTACTTGAAATAGTTATACCTCGTTACCATAGTCACCGCCAAGGGTCTAGACGACTGGATAGAGGAGTTCTTACTTTAAACAAACTGTAGCTTGAAATTCAGAGCAGCTGAAGTCCTTCAGCGATTGAGACTTTGAGCCGTTCTCTCCTGAATCTCTTAATTCAGATTGAGCGTCCTAGAATATGACGTAGTTCAAAGACTGATTGACTTCCTGATGGTGACGAAGACTTGTGGGAGTGACTTATAGGTTCCGTCAATTCTTTTACGAAACTGGACGATTCTATTCGTTTCATTCCCTGCTTCAGAGAACTCGAAGTCTCGAAGGAGATTACGGAGGTTCGAACCAGCGACCTTTGGGTCCGCTAATCACTGTGGAAAAAGTGTGCACACTCCTTAACTGGGTAAGTTAGGAACTTATTTACCTCTTGCTGTGCAACATCTATCATTCAGGAAAATTTTCATATTTTTCTTTACCGTTGTAATTCAAATGAAAAGAGTTTAATAATTTTTTTTAATTTTCTTAATTACTAGATTTTTTTCCAAGTTGAATAAACTACGGATTCGTCTGTGAAGTAATTTTTTCTCAACAACGAAGAATTTATTCTTTTTCGATTGTTAGTTACAACACCATATAGCTTGACGGAAGAGTTATCTAAAATGTTTATCTTCGATCAATAACAGTTGCTTTCTAGCAGAAAGTTTCTGAATAAGAAAACTTAACTACAAATCTAAATAATAGATAATTAACAACCAATAATATTAAGAGAATAGTCAACGAATTATATTACAATTTATTATTATTAATATTAACTTTTTAATAATGTTTAAAATTGTTTTTTACCTTTCAAATTTTCTGAATCTTGACAGTAACAGTGTTTCATTGAGTTTAGAAATGAAAAGTTTGACCGCAGTAAGCATGTTTTAACATACTGTCAAAATAAATTTTTCGTCACATTATTTCGTAAATTACTGTGTTAAGAAGGGTAAAAATGTGTACAGAAGAATAATGAATGTTTATTTTAACTTAAGGTCATTTTTTCAGGTGTTTCGTCTATTAACAGCTTAGTTTAAATTAGACAATCATTTTCAATGAGAAAAGAAATTTTTAAAAATAATAATACCATTTGGATCTGGCCGTTGATCAAAAAGTAACTCTGTAGACACGCTTTTGGCTGCTAACGTTTCGATTACTTTTCTTTTCCTCCAATTTAAATAGTAGTCATATACTGTAGCAAGACTGACAACGGCTATGACGAAAATCTGAAAGCTCCTATAAAATAAAAACCACATTGAAAGAACAAAATTTATGAAGCATTATAATGATATATAATACTTGTGCTAATATATATGAGTAAAAATATGAAGTTAAATATAACACCGTGAGACAAATTTTTTGTTGCATTCATTCAAGGATCTTAACTAAATCGGGTGTGGGGATTTCAAATCGGAAATTAGTTCTGAAAACTACAGATTTTTTCCAAAATGGTACTCTTAGATTGGAACTCTTAATTATTGGTTGCTGGAATGCAAATATTGTAGAGAAATGAGCGCTTTGCTCTTGAGACAAAAAGATAGTGGAGTTGGTATATAAATGAGTGAGTCAATCAAATTAATATTTACACGAGCGAGAAACCAATTACTTAGAATATTTACGTTATATACATAAGTGACGTTGTATAAGTTTTTGGCAACTCAGAAAAATATGCTCTCTGTAAAAGTAGGTTCCTTTGGTTCATAGTCAAATAAAAATATTTACACTATGTATTAATATCTTATCAAAGACAATTTTATCTTGCTTCTAGAAAATGCTAGCAATGAATTTTGAAAGAGAGAACCAACCTTTAAAAAGGGCACTAAGAATGGTTAGAATCCTTCCCTTAAAAACTACTATCCTAATAGATAACGTAACGTACAGGGTATTACGTTATCTATTAGGATAGTAGTTAGGATAGTACAGGGTATTACGAGATATTGAATGGGATAAAAAGAATTGCAAGGTACAAAATCTGTATTTGATTTATATTGCCCAAAAAAATTTAGTTCTGAAGCTAAAATCATACAAGTTTCATCTGGTAACAGTGTAACATTTCAGAATTACGAAATCACCGCTTGAAGCACTATTAATCAAAATTGCCCTATCCATGCAGAAGAAAGGGCACTATGTTTTACAATAAGTAAATTTTTAAAAAAACTGAAAAATTTTTGCTTGCTATACAATATTCTACTTCAAGCCACTATGTTAAGGAGATGCTTATATGCTCAATACATATTTCTTTCAAAAACAAATTATTAATATTTTATAGTTGTTATGAATACGTTTATTTCTTTTAAAAACAAATAAGCAAATGAAATCTTAAAATAGTATTAATATCACTTGTAAAATTTTCCACGATCACTAAAATTATCCCAATGCAAATGTATAAAACTAAATCAAAATTTAACAATGTGTTTCCTTTCAGTTTTAACGTAAAGGCTGATACTAGTTTCAAAAAATATTTTGTATTGCATGTAGGCGGTTATAATTCAATTTCTCATAGAAACATTTCTGATAGGGACCAATGCGCTGCCCAGGCGCCCAGCTCATAAAACAAGATCAGATCAGATCTAACATAATAGATTTTTCTTAGTGGTACTAAATTGAAACAGAAACTTTTTAAAATTAAAAATAATTCTTATAAAGATTTTCAGAATTAAGAGCTATCAGAAATTTTTTACAACTTTTCGTATCATTTTGAATATTCTATTCTTAGAAATAAGAACTCAAAGGTTCGCTTCATTTTCTGGGAGATTGAAATTGAAAAAAAAAAGAAGAAATACAGCAACTTACATAAAGAATATTGCAGAAATATCTTTTGAAAAACCTTTCGTATGAGTGTGACAAACTTCAATTGTACCCTGAATATCTCCGAAATTGTTGGAAAGGCCTATAAAAAAGAAATTCATAGAAATACAAATCAATCTTAACATAAAACCAGTCAATAAAAATAGAAGCTTAAAAATATTTATTATTATTTAAGTTTTTATTTGTGTATTGCAGCATTACTGTGATAGCTACATAAGGAGTGTACTAAATTTTGACAATTTTCAAGAAAAGTAACACTAAAATAAGTTCAAAAAACAACGCTTGCAGCAAATTCATGCGACAAGGAATAATTTTTTCTTTTGAAAACGTCTAGGTTCAGCTCAAAATGTTTTCGATAAATGGCATTACTGATGATAAAAAAAGTAAATGGACGAAACTGATAGAAATTCACAATTTTTCGAAATCTTTTAATAAATGAAAATCATATTAGAATATTTTTGAAATATTCACTATTAGTTGTAATGACGTGTTGTAATATGACATGGTGTAAAACGATTTGTAATTATTTTCCTTCAATTTGAAAATTTACTATCTGCAGCGCCATCTGTCGTAAAAATTCCGAACTGAAACCAGGACTTAGAGGAGGAAAAAATCATGCATTGTGACATGAATTTGCTGAAAGAGTGTCGTTTCTGAAACCAGAAGGAAGATATATACCTCAGGCCAATGGCTGCTTATTTTTGAGGCACATCTTTATCCAGAATACAAAATATTTAAATTTTCTTTTCACTCAAATTTGCCTTCCAGTCACCAGAAAGAGCTACCTTAAAGTTAAAATTTCAAGATGGATAAAAAATCGGCGTAGGGCGCCCAGATAAATTTCGGTGATGATGATGAGCTTAACGAACGAACTGCCTTGATCTGGTCCCTTCGTTTTGATTTTAAACTAGCTCTATTGTATCACTAATTTATTACGCATAAAAAAAATAAAATCGACTTTCCTCGATGGGTTAAATAACTGGATTCGATTAGATTAAAAAATGGCGTTATATTATTTTTAAATGCTAAAAAATGTGTTTTTTTTTTCTTTTTTTTTTTAACGTTAGTTAACTATTTCTTCGTAGTTTAGTTTTATTTTCTGTAATTGCTGTTTCATATGATTCAATATTAGATAAAAAAGACTAATATCCATTATGAACAAATTAAAATAAAGCATATAAATGAAAATACAATACTTACTGGCATCAGTGGCAAATTTGATATCATTCACTGAACATGATAGCGGTATACAAATACCGATTGTAGGAGGCTTGGTCGCCTTTTTCATAACTTCCCATGAAGGATTGGGCAAAATCTAGGAAAGAATTACACTATTAAAAAAGAAATAGGTATACACTATGGATAAGAAATTGTAGAAACATAAAAAGATTAAATATGCTGTTGCATTCATGTTCTCTAATTTTAAACAAATGTTTTTCGAATCCTGAAATGTTTAAACCAAACATTTAAATTATGAAAATGTTGAGAGAAATTTATTTTTGTAACTACCAGTTCAATTTTAAAAAGTAGACATTTTTGCTCTTAAAAAAATAATAAATCGATTCTAATTTTAATCTTACATGTACGTCAGTCTATGCAATTTTAAAATTTGGAATAGTGAAGCCTGCCTGATCGCTTAGGGAAAAGAATGTGCTTGTTACGGGTTATTTCGGTACGGGTTGTTACGGGTATCTGGGTTTCCCAAAAGGTTTGGAATCACAAAATTTTTGCTTTCGAATTCTCGGAAAACTGCAAATTTAGCACCTTATTAATTTAAGAATTACTTTGTTTCCACAATCATTTCGTATCTTAACTTCTTCATTAACAATAATTCACAACCTCTCCAAAAGTGTTGGAACCACAAAATTATATACTTTGATTTATCGGAACACTGCATATTTCGCATCGAATTTGTTTTAAGTTTCTACATTATGAACATCTTGTATCCTCACTTCTCCACCATCATCATCAATCTCAACTCATTATCCTCAACTCAACTTTCTCACAGCACAGAGGATTAAAGCGAAGAGCAAAGATCCTCTTCCTCATAAAACTCAGACTCGATTGCAATTTTTAATCGCATTAAGCAACTAATGTTACAAGACTATTTAGAAGATTTTGTTTTCATAAAGTGGTACAAAAAAGTTTCGTTAATTCTCGAATTAAGAAATTTTACTTAAATGATTTTGCCACCATTGCGTATAAATAAATTAAATTTATGCAAATGTACATATATGTACAATTTAGAGAGTGACTGTGAATCAAGGTTCCAACGGTATAAGAAAAAAGATGGGTGATAAGAAAATACCTCAATTTTAAATTAAAAGAAATTCTTTTTACAATTTTATTTTAATTTTACGCGAACTTTTTTGGAATGGAGAATTCCCATTTTGCCGAATCATAAATAAGCTCCTGCAATTAGTATATTTATAGATATAACAAAGAAATATCAGGAACTGCTCTAATGAAGTATTAGAAATAAATACAACATAGCCGCCTTATTTTAGAATTGGGCACCTGGGGCAGCGCAGCGATCCTTAACCAATCCAGCTTGACATTTTTGATGTGAAAAAGATGGCTGACGATGAGATAGCTGATCCGTAAATGTAAAATTTTTCTATATCACTCGGAAAATTTATTTTTATATTTAAAGTGGTAGCAAGATTTAAGCTTTGATATTTTACTCCTTATTTAATAAATTTGACTTAAAATGTTCATGATCATATTTATATCTAATTAATTTAAAAATATATAAAGTTTCTGATAATATATTATGTGGGTTTAGGTGCTGATGAACTTTAAGAACATTCTTTTGACAGTTATGGTTTCAATTTTTTATTTCGCTATCAATAGAAAAAATACTTCTTAAAAAAACACACACGGTGGCAGAAAAGAAATAAATATAATTTGTCTCATATAATATCAACAAGTATTTTTTTAAAAAGTCAAATATATAATAAAACAAAGAATACTAACAGCTAAGGAAATACATTTTTTATAACGAAAATCAAATTATTGTGTATGAAAGTCAATAGAACTTTAAACAATTTCGATTATTTATTATTCGAAAAAAGAACAATGTGATATTTAATTCAGCTAGCACTGATCTTTTAAAATGCATGTTGAATTTTTATAAGTAAAGTAAAAAGCCGCAAATTATTAAAAAATGAAGTAGGGTGTAATTCTTTTGCTTTAATGAAAAAATTAAACTATATTATTGCTAATATTTTTTACAACATGTTAATTTTTTCCACCAATATTACTGATTTAATTCTTTTATGCTTAATTATTTTACTCAATAAATGACATAATTAATAAATTATTTGATTAATCAATATAAAAAAAACAAAGGAATAAATTAATTCGCAGCTAAAATGACATATTTTTCCATATTACAAATAATTTGGTGATCGGTGAATATCGTCGTATTCCAAAACTAATTCGAAATTTTAAAGAAGGGTCAATTTTTTTTCTTTCTTTTAATCTTCTAAGAGTATAGAACTACAAAAAATTATAAATTTACTGTGATTAGTTTTTGATCTAAAAAACCGTCTATGTAATTACTTATACGGTAATACTATGTAATAACCGTCTATGTAACAACTATGTAATTACTTTAAAACTTATTCGAAAATAGAACTGAGTGAGACGAGTTAAGATATAAAAGTACGGAGCTGTAAAAAAAATATATATGGTGCCAGTTCCTGTACACAAAGCTGTAACCTGATCTCAGTTCTCAGATCCGTCAGTTAGAAGTCGCCTTAAGATAGAAGTCCCGCAAGTCTATGTAAGCCGCAAGCTGATCCCTGTGCCCATGACTAGGAAGCAATGGGAATTTCCCTGAGACGGGAGAGCGCGGTTGACAACGAACCGAAAAAGACGTGACGTATATGCACTCCAAAGAGGAGTTATGATTATACAAAACTTTTAAAGACGAACTCTTACTTATTATTTGTTTTTGTTATTCGTGTGATTGTTAATCGTCCGTCCTTACGTAAATTTAATCTTCATTATATATGTTTTTGTTTAAGAACGTGTCTTTTATTTAAGACGATCACTCATGCCGTCCCCACATATATAATACATTCACATGCTAATAAGTTTCACCAAACTGAACTACACAGTGCAAAATATGTAAATACCTCGTCAATAATAATATTTTGAGATTAGAATATTTATTTACGTTTCTGCAATATGATTCACTTCTCCATAAATAAGCAGTCTTATATTGTTTCATCAGATAGCTTTTGTTTACAGTGACAAGCATGATTTCCCGAAGTAGTGGTAAACGTGGTAGAAACTTTTTTNAAAAAAAAAAAAAAAAAAAAAAAAAAAAAAAAAAAAAATACTTCCTCATGTTAACAATCGTTTTAAACGCTGTCTTTTAATCGTTGAATTTTATATATATTTAAAAATTAAGATAAATTTCTGCTGTATGTAATTGATATTTTTTTTCTTCAACTTCGTGCAAAATTAGTCTATATCAGTAACCAAACTATTTACCTATTCACTTTTTTTTTCTCTCCAAAAAAGCAGAGCGAAGGGGTTTTTGAAGATGATCTCATTCGCATCTTATTTCTCAATTTTCGATGTAACTGGCTCCTTTGTATTCGAAAATAAGAGCTGTCTAGTAATTGAAAAATGGTCTATTCAGTGGCAAGGCGGAAAGTAGATTTGTTGAGCAAGATTTAAGAATGATGAAATGTAACCTAAATAACTTAAATGAGATTTGTGCAATTTTTTTTACCGCTATTTAAATAAGGTAAATAAAGGTGTAGTAATGACTAGTTTTATATTATTTTATAACCATCGTAGCACAGCAGACACAATTTTTTGGGTTTACGACTTTAATGTTCAACTACGTCACCTTGTAAGTTTGAACCCTATCCAGAAGACAAGGTAACTCCCGGATCGAGTATTGGGAGAAATTTGCCTTCGTGGAGGTTTTTTCGACGGAACTAACCCGCAATTACGTTGCATAGAGAGGAAGACCACGAGATCCTCCCACGGTTAGCCAGAAGGCAAGAGGACTCCCATTATCCGTCTACAACAGAGGATATTTCACGTCAGCACTGTGGTCGGTGCAAGCTGGATGCGGAATTCGTATCGACAAGCCATTGCTGGGATTCGAACCCGGTTCACCTCATTGAAAGACGAACACTCTATCCCCTGAGTCATTCGGCTCTACTTATTGGTGGTGGGGGGGGGGAGAGAAAGAGAGAAAATGAAATTACGTAAAAATGCCGATTAGTACAAATCTTCGGGATCGCAGCGACCTGTTAATGAATGATTTTGGTTTAAGTATGAATTATGTGAAATGTGGTAGTTACGATTAAATAATTAAAGAGATAATAAAGAATAAATTTAATGAAATGAGTTCCTATTACTTTTTAACATTTTTAGTAGCCCGCAAGAATTTCTGTAAAGATCACGGGATATGATTTGATAATCTATTTTATGTTTTTTTTTTCTTCCTTTTTTTAATCTCTCAAAGTTTTTTGCTTCCGCGTCTCCTTTTGTAGGTGATAACAAATAATAAAAAATATACTCCCCGTGTTATCAAATAAACAAGCTATCATCTTTTTATCATTCTTCCATTATCCTTTTTCCAATATTATCTTTCAATTTTATTACCGGAAAATGTCTGTGTATCATTTTTCATTTCGTCCGTCTGTAAAATTTTATTTCATTTCCTCAATGAAAAAATACTGATTCAAATTATCATTTGGGCTCTGATTCGATATGATATTTGAGTATGCAAATCGCGATTTGAATAATTTCTTCGAATCACCAGAATGAACTGATTTGTTTGAGTCAAGCACCTTAGAATAATTACTTTGCCAAATTTCAGAGTTGAGTAATGACTCGATAATTGAATTTTTCTAATGAATCAGAAAATAATTTTCAATGAGTTGAATTGAAGAAATTGATTTAAGTTCAAATTTTTAGTTAGGTGAATCAGTTTATTATTATTTTTATTCAAAATTGCTAAGTTGAAACAGTTCTGATAATTGCCTATATTTACTTTTATTCCCAGCATAAAAAATACTAATTCCGTGAATTCAAATTTAAATGTCGGACATAAAAACTAGCTTTAAGATTCTTAATGTTTGTTGGGTTGTCTTAATTAACACAATATCGCTGGACAGCTCTTGAAAATAGTTATAACTGAAATCAAAATAGTTAAGCGCGGGCAACAGCTAGACGGTAAAAAAAATTTGGTTAATATGTTGTTTAAAACTAATTAAGATTTTAGGATTGAAGAAAAAGTTGAAGAATTCGAATATTTAAATTCAGTTTTGATATACGTACGGCTAGAATACCTTTAAAGTTTATATATTGTATGTTAAATGTAAATTTGAAAGATAATCAAGTTAACTAAAGACGGCTAGTTTTGCTAGTTTGTATGGTGTGGGCAGAATTCGTACCAGCCAACCACCGCTGGGATTTAAACCCGAGTCATTGGAAGGCGAAATCTCTATTTCTTTAGCCACTGAGGTTCCATATACATACATAGTTTTAGACAAAATTGCTCAAAATTTAATTCAGTGTGCCAAGAACCAAATGTTAAATCGGAACTTTGCTACCTCTAAAAAAAATAATAAAGTCCCCCTAAGTTTTGTCAATCTGCCGATCTGCAAATTAGATATTTACTTCCAAGCGACGTCACGCGTAGGTTAGCCAATCAGATTCAACGCTCACGCGTGACGTCCTTTACAGGTATCCAATTAAATCTAATCCAAAAATTGATTGAGCGCTGTAATAAACTCACGCTTTAGAGCTGTAACGTTAACGCGTCATACACAACCACGGAATTAGACGTGACCATGTGATTAGTTGCAAGTACCTAATTGTGAGCCGCGATGGCTCAGAGGATAGAGTGTTCGCCTTCCAATGAGGTGAACCGGGTTCGAATCCCAGCGATGGTTGGTCGATACGGATTCCGCATCCAGCTTGTACCAACCACAGTGCTGACGTAAAATGTTAAACTGATCATGGGTTAGAGTCCCCTTGCCGTCAGGCTAACCATGGGAGGTTCTCGTGGTCTTCCTTTTCATGTAACGCAAATGAGGTTTAGTTCCATTAAAAAGGACTCCACGAAGATACAATTTCTCCCTTTACTTGTTTACAGGAGTTGTTTACAGGAATTGTTAGGAATGTAGTTTCCTGGTAAATTAAGAAATGATTTAACTTTATTATAAATACAGACCCTTTGTTCGTATCCTGAGACGTTCAAATTAAGCAGACAGTACTGTCCCCTGAGGAAATTCTTCTCCACCTTAACAATGGTATTCACACATTCTGAATAGTATCCTATAAAATGAACGCTTCCTTCCAAAATGCCACTAGATGGTTTTCCACTAGCATCGAAAACTGCAAAAAATTAGAAATATCTCGTTATAGTATCAGTTTTCTATTTGTATACGAATAGAAATACCATGTATTCATAGTTCCTTGTACATAGTTTAAAAAAAGTTATACGTTTAAAATTTGATTCATACATTACAAAATAACTTTAAGAGTTGGAAAATAAAAGATATTCTAATTTTCTGAAAAAATATTAATCTCAAATTTGATTGTTATTTTTTGGTCAGTAAAAAACATTCGCTTTATGCTCTCACTAGTTCGAAACGACAATAAATTATTCATTGCAAATCTGACCAGTGAAAGATATTAGCCTAATAGTCGTTTCTTAAGGTAGAAATAATTATTTCTTGATTAGTATTTAAACTAATCTGTATCAAATTAAATAAAATCAATTGCGCATGTAGCAGATGTTTTTCAACCTATAAGAATTGTCAACAACAAAAATAATTATCTGTATCAAATTAAATAAAATCAATTCATGTAAAAGATGTTTTTCAACCAATAAGAATTGTAAAAAAAAATAATAATCTGTATCAAATTAAATAAAATCAATTGCGCATGTAGCAGATGTTTTTCAACCAATAAGAGTTGTCAAAAAAAAATTTTCCAAATGTAATTTCTTGTAAGTTTGAGGTCCGTAAAGTAATTGATGATTATAATATCTGTTACTTTATGATCAAAATAATAATAATGATATATATTCGATTTAAATGCAATCGTCATTTTCTGATAAATAATAATAGCTTAAAAATATCTAACTAAATTAAAAATGAAAATTTAAAAAAAGAGAAGAAGATGCTTGTTCGAAGAGAAACCACTGAAAGTTGTATCATTTCATAACAATTCTCATACGTGTTTTTCTGAACTTCTTCCTAAAACGTGCTTTTTAAACCATTTTTTTTTTTGTAACCCAGTTTCAGATTAAACCAGTTTTAATAATTTAAAACTAACTTACTATATTACCGAAACAACCTTGAAGCATTTAATTACTAACTTGAACATAACTTCGAAAATAAGGTCATGGACACTCTCGAGTTCGCTTTTCATAGTTAGATTATGTAATTAATTTGATGCAAAAAGTTTAAATTACCGCAATATGTTTATGTTACAATATAAATGATATCCGAACGGGTAACCAGTTGTTAATTTTCACTTTCAGCAGGTGGGTAGTTAGACATTAGTCCTTGGAACTGAAAAGCATTGTTTAAAAAAAAGGCGCAGAATGTGACTTAAATACTTGATTAACTCAATTCAAAGAAGTGTTGTTGAATTCGAAGAGATGGCCGGCCATGACTGTCTAGTAGAGCTTTTTGAACGCGTTCAGAGTTAATATTTTAATTATTTTATTTTTTGTAGTGGGTTCTTTATTTAACTGTGTCGCGAATCTTTATTGTTTGACAGCGCGCTATTTTTATAAGCACTGTTAATAGGGACTTAACCTTGACCTTGCTGAAATTTCCTGTCTCTTTATTCTCATTTGTCACTTTCAAGTTTATTTTGTTTAAGCTAACGCGTATTTTCGTTTGCTTACATTTCACCCACGTGCTTGCTTTCTATCAAATAATATAAAAGCATTTTTTTAAAAATATTTTTAAAAATTGAAAACTTCCTAAATGTAAAGCAGTTTTAAAAATTTTTGTTTTCGTTTCGAAATTCAGAAAGTTGCATAATTTTTTAAGGTGTTCTTTGAAGTACTTTCGTCAAGAAAAATAAAGAACACAGATACTATAGATACTTTAAACTTTCACCAATTACGAAAATAGCATATTATTCGTTCAAAAGCTTTATTTCCTATGACAACAAAGTGTTTGAATATCAGCTTTTTGTTTAATATTTTCTCAAGTGATTACAAAATTATACTTTTGAAATCACAGTTAATAAATTGAAAAATAATTAAAGTACTATATTTAGACCATTTTGCAAAAATAAAAAAGTGGGCAAGTACGTAAACATTTTTAAAAACTTTTTTAAATTAAAAGCGAATTTTAAAAAAAAAAATATTGCCACTGAAACAAGGTTGTTACTTGCCGAGAAAATGAAGAAAAAACTGGCATTAAAGCTCTTTCATTTTTACATTCTTTTGAGGNGGGGGGGGGGGGAGAAAATTATCTATGACTACGCTTCGTTTTCTTGTAAGTATATGGTTTAACCCTTTAAAACAGAATTTTATGAAATATATTTTGCATTCCTTTTTTTAAAAATTATTTTGTATTTATTTAGGGCCAAATATGTAAAAATATTATATTTAGCTTTCTAATAATTTATGGTTTTGAAATATAACATGATTTGGATTTTATGTTTTAGTACAAATCTAATACCGATAATCTAACAGATTTTTTTTAGTAACTATTAGACTGTTTTTTATAATTAAAAAAATTTTTTTTTTGCAGCTGCCTCTTTCTTATCATCATCATTTTCACTGTTTTTAATAAGTCTATATTTTTATTTATATATTTATTTATATGTTTATTTCTTTGCACACATTTATTCCCGATCGATAATTTCTATAGTTTATTCTGACATCTTTTGAGTTTCCCTACTAAGTGATGATGACTTGTTACACCAGACTGGAGATGCGATAAGTAGGATGAGGGAGATCATTGAGATAAAGAGTAAGCACCTTAGTTCTATTTTAGAGTTCTGAAGAAGAATTTGCAGTTTGTGACAGGTCATCATTTAATTCCTTTGTGACCATATTTCACAATATTTTGTTTTNTGATGATGACTTGTTACACCAGGCTGGAGATGCGATAATTAGGCTGAGGGAGATCATTGAGATAAAGAGTAAGCACCTTAGTTCTATTTTAGAGTTCTGAAGAAGAATTTGCAGTTTGTGACAGGTCATCATTTAATTCCTTTGTGACCATATTTTACAATATTTTGTTTTGTAAAAAAAAAAAAAAGAAGAAGAAGAAAAAAACATATCTGTAAAGTTCTGCCTTTCTGATTTACAGTGATATCTTAAAGAAAATTCGTAATTCTAGAATTTTCCAAGCCGAATAGAGTTTTATTTTTATGAAAAGCAGTACCTAATGTGAGGTGCTATAATTTGTTTGCTTTAAAATATATTCGTATATTGTTTTACTTGAATAACGAAACAATAGGAAAAATTTGAATTAAATTTCAATTTAAACTATCTTCGTGAAATTTCGCATGTTAAGTGTTCATTCAATCCTGCGAGAGCATGTCATCGTCAATCAGCATTGTTTCAATGTATTTTTATTCTTATTTCGAATAAGTTTATTTTTATATATTCAATGCAAATGAAATTAAAATAACTACTTTCTTTTTTTAACAAAAACTGGGTGCCTGGGACGCGCAGCGGCCCCTAACCCATCCATCTTAAAAATATTATTACAGTGAATATAACATTTTGATTTATGTAACAGTGTGGTAACATAAAAATAACCATGATTAGAAATTTGTACAACTTGATCGATGTTAAAATAACTATCATCATCATCAACATTTATCTGGGCGCCTGGGGTCGTTAGCGACCTTTTTCCCATTCGTCTTGAGTTAAAAAAACTACTCAAAACAATTGGGTATAATATGAAAAAAACACAACTACTTCCACTTCGAAAATTTTACTAGGAATAACATTTACCTTTAAGTTTAATTAATAAACTGAGTTTTAAATATGTTTATTAAATTCATAAACCTAGATAAAACAACAAAATAAATTATTTCAAAAGAAACTAGACTTATACAATTCTAACCTGGTGAGTAGCGACTTTTAACAACACACTTTGTTTAATGTTTATTTGTTGCTAGAAATCAGGTTCGCAGAAAATGCTGTTTACTAGTTAAATTTAGTAGGAATAGCACGACCTGTGACGTAGGCTATAGTATACCCAATTAAAGGATATTGCTAGTCTTGTATAAAATAAATAACGGTAAAAGCAGAATTTTTTTTCTCCATAAAATGGAAAAAAAAAGAGTTTCAAATGCAAATTTTTCTTATTTTAAACTTCGCATCAGTATGCAAATTTTGAGTTAGACGTCGAAGACGATGCTTTCGACGCAACGAATTTGATTCGGCTTTTAACTTAATGCAAGACAAAGCGGAAAAGAATGATCGACATTCAGTAAGCGCTTTGTTTCGATGAATCGTCTCGCAACGAACTCATTTAACCGAATCAGATGTTTGGAGAGTTGCTGACGGTTAAAAGGGGGCCAAGGACACGCCGAAGTAGCAAAAGCCATTGGAGTTTCACAAAGTGTGACTTTCAGGATCTGGAACCGTTTTTTTTTTGGAGAGTGGAAATGCAGGCCGAAGGTCAGGACATGGATGTAGACGTGCAACAAGACCGTATTTAACACTAACGGCTCGGACACACCGACATATGAATGACGATGTTCTTCAACAACACTTTCGCTCTGCTACTGGCACCACAGTTTCGACACAAACTGTCCAAAACAGCCTCCATGCTGCAGATCTATATGCTCGTCATGTGTGTCACGTTAACAGCAAGGCAGCGTCGCGAGCGCAGAGAGTAGACAACAGAGCACGTGAACTGGAGGAGAAATGAGTGGCGAAGTATTATTTTCTCTGGCGTGTCCCATTTTTCTGTTCATCTTTATAATAGGCGAATTTTCATCTGGTGGGAACGTGGCAATAAAAACAATTGTACGTTTGTGCACGAAAGTGTAAGATTTGGCGGTGAGGGAGTAATGATCTAAGTTGGCATCTCTATTGATGGGTACACCCAGGGCCTAATTATCACCTAGGCCCAACAGGCATGGGCCTAGGGCCCACAATTTCAGAGGGGCCTCAAAACTTAGTAGAAAGTCTAATGAAAGGTGGACTAGCTTTGTGTTGGTTTAAGTATTAAATAAAAAGCAGTTTTACAACAAACAGTATTAAATAAAAATCAGTAACTTTTAGCAAAAATCACTGATTTCAATTGTTTTTGGCCAACAAACTATTTTCATTCTGATATAATATTGTTTTGTTGTTTTATATTTTGCTTTAGTTTATAGATACATAAACTTTATCTTAGAAAAATAATCTTCCATTGTCTGCTTAGAATGTTTCTCTTGAATCATGCAGTTCAATAGATTCTTTTTCATTATTTGGACTACTCTTGAGTAATTTAATATCAAAATATCTTGTNTTTATAGATACATAAACTTTATCTTAGAAAAATAATCTTTCATTGTCTGCTTGGAATGTTTCTCTTGAATCATGCAGTTCAATAGATTCTTTTTCATTATTTGGACTACTCTTGAGTAATTTAATATCAAAATATGTTGTTAGGGGCCCGGAAAATTTGGTGGCCCTTTGGCCTGAATTTGTCTTGATCGGTCCCTGTATGCACCGATCTCCATATCTTTCGAAATGGAGTTCTGACTGGTCGCCGATATAGGGATGAGATCCTGAGACCTATTGTAGTCCCTTACGCTGCAGAAATTGGAGATGATTTTATGTTAATATGCGACAATTTCAGGACACAACTTGGGGAATGCTTTTCTTTTAGAGGAATGAATCATATGAATGAATTGGCCAGCATGTTCTCCAAACATGAACCCAATCGAGCATGTTTGGGACATTCTAGGCGGAAGAATAGCTGAACGCCTACCACCTCCACAAACTCCCCAAGAACTGGAAAGAGCTCTTCTGAAGGAGTGGCACAGAATACCCCAGCCCTCATTAATAACCTCACTGACTCGATGGCTCAAAGGTGTTCAACGTTGCTAGCCGTTCGGAGAATCCATATCCCCAACTAAAATCGATTTCTTTTTAAGGAATCACCTTTTTTTTCATTTGTTTTTCCCATATGCACAAATAGTGTTTTTTTTCCTTTTGTACCCAAAAGCTCAATAAAAAATCTTTTTTTTTCTTCTGAAGACAAAGATCATTTTTATATCATATATTTTATCTACTTCTGTTGATAATGTATCAATCATTCAAACAATTCTCCAGGTGCAAGATCAACTCACAACCTCAATATCCTTCAATTGTTTTGAGCAATGTACATGAGTACGATTATACAATCATTATTTTCCTGAACTTCTCTTCCTTTTTTTCTTATAGTTTTAGCAAATTACAGAGTTCTCGCAGGACTTGAAAATTTTAAAAAGCGGTGCCGAAAATTTATTTTTTGTGTTACCACCACTAAAAATTATTTTCCAAAGGAAGTATATATGCAGGAAAATTTCATCTTCTAAACCACTTAATAAATTTTTATATTAAAATGAGAAATGTGTTTTAGCATAAACCTAAATTTGCTACCACTACTAAAACTTTTCAAAGTTCTCAGGAACCCTGAATTAGAATTTTCTTTTCATTATGAAGTTTTAGATTTAAATTTTTTTTTAATTTTAACACTATTTATAGTCATAAGTGAAACTCATGAATTATCGAAATCAATAATAAATAGTTTAATTTTGACACAATTTTTAACAACACAAGGTCGAAATCAATAATAAATAGTTAAATCAATAATAAATAGTTAAATTTCCAATCGAAATCTATAATAAATAGTTAAATTTTGACACAATTTTTAACAATCACAAGGTAATTCATTTAATAAATTCCAATGAATAATTTAGTTTCCTCATATCTTTAAACAATCACAAGATCATTTTTTCTTAATAAATCGAAAAGAATAATCTTATTCATTTTAATTTTAAAATAATTTTTTTAAACAATTACAAGGTCATTTCTCTTGAATAATCCAAATCAATATTTTATTTTTATCATGAATTTTAAACAATTACAAGGTAATTTCCTTTTAATAATCCGAATGAATATTTTATTTTTTTGAATTTTAAACAACTACAAGATAATTTCTCTTGAATAGTCCAAATGAATATTTTATTTCCAAGATGAATTTAAAACAATTACAAGATAATTTCTCTTGAATAATCTGAATGAATAATTTAGTTTTAACATCATTTTTAAACAGTCACAAGATGGGATTATTGAATTATTTAAATGAGTAATGATGAACATTCGGATAATATCGAAATACAATCTAATTCTTGCATAGTACAAATTATATGCAGTAAGAACATTTTATAAAGTTACAAATGCCCTTCTCTTTCGGACATAATAACATTCATTTTCGAAGAAAAATAAAATTTAAAAATGAACTTACTTTTCAAAGCATTTGGATCACCAAAATTCGCTAAGTTCTGAATCTCTTTCATATGCAGACGACATTCTTCTGTTACATTTGAAACGGTTAAATAATTATATACATCATCTAAAAACGAAGCGTACGACGATGTCAAATTCTGAATCAGAGATTCTTTGAAATGAAAACTAGGTGAATGAGGCGGAAGGGCTTCCCCCAAAACAAACAACAAACAGGAAATCACCGCAGAGAACACCACTTTCGGATTCGATATCATTTTCACTTTTATTAGAGTATCGTTTTCTTTTTCTTCCCGCGTACTTAAAAAATGTTCACCTGCGGTATTCAAGTAGCTGGAGGAACAAATCGTTTAATGTAATGTTCGGAATCGTTTCCTTTTTATTTGTGAGATTTGCGTACGCCGGTGAATCAATTATAGTGGCATTCTACAAGGCCACAAGTTCGGTGACACAGTTAAAAAAGAATTGACTTTTATCATATAAAATGTTGACGTCGTGGTAGTAAAAAAATAAGGGAAGAGAAAAATGATTGCATAGGTGCTTTGTTGGCGAAATGCCATGGTTTGTGTTCAGGATAGTTAAACACGTGCTCAATTATGCAGTCAGATTATTTCGAGGGCGAATGGAACAGATAAGTTATAGATTTTACCTATCTATAGCGAGCATTGTAGCTATCTATTTCGAGATCTATATCAGATAATATAGTTAATTCCATCTTCGAATAAGTAAGAAAAAGTTAACGCAGACGATATATTACATTCTTTGTTGTTAGGAAATAAATGTTTTATAACATAGTTACGATTTAGAATTACGTTTTATTGCAGAAGTACCTCATAATATTTTCATTCCGTTTTTAGTTATTTTTATTTCCTCGTTTTAACAGCAAATGTTAAGTTTTTAATCATCAAACGTTCACCCAAGGTTTTTTTAAAAAAAATTCATAAAAAAATTCTCTTTCGGCAATTTTGGCAGATGACAAGATGCTTTTTTAGACGTTAAGAAATGATGAATTATATTTTATTACAGTCATTATAGTTTATTATATTTTATTACAGTAAAATTTTTTTTCAGTCAGTATGTTTCATAATGTTTTTAAGAATTTTATTTCCGTGTATTAACAGCAATTGTGAGGGTTTTAATCATCAAATGTACAGACTTTTTCTTTTAACTATTAAGTAGATAAATTAGGTATTGGTATATAGCAGTATTAAAATATAATTTTAAACTTGCTAACTAATTTTATTCTTTTTATTCAAGACAAGAATGCTAGTTTCTCCAAAATTTTCGAAAAATATAGTACTGGTACTATAACGTCTTATTTTTACCGCAACTTCATACGAAGTAAACTATTTATTAATAATTAAAACATGCATCTTTTGACATCCATAAAACATGCATGCAAACATGCATCCTAACTATTTATTTTTTTCATATTAATTTTTTCCCGCTATTATTAGTAAGGACAGATAGTATATAGAATAAATCCATGATGATAGAATGAATCCATGCCTTGTCCATGATTCGAACACAGAACCTTACCGATGAAAGGCTAGTTCCCTGACCCCTACATAGTCGGTCGTCATAAATAAATATAAAAGCATACATTTTTTTACCACTGACGAAAAACACTTAAAATATTTGGTAGAGTTGGCAAGTAAGAGAATTACCTTAAATATTTAAAAAGCATGACATTTAATTCCAAAAGCATAACATTTGTGAAATCGTTTTTTTTTTTTTCAATTTATTAAATATTAAGAACGCTTAGGATTAGAAATTGTTTTACAGAAATTGTGAAATAGTGCAATATTTGCAATATTGCGTAAAATTTGAAAGTAAATATTTATTTCCTGTAAAAAAATTTTAAAACAGAGATATTTTAACGCCGGGAGAGAGAAACGTTTCATTTTAGAAAATGTGGGTATTTTCAATAATTCTATCGAACTCAAAAGCGTTCAAATGTGATAAATTAAATTTGTGATTTGTTATAATTTAAATAATTGTCATAATAGTAATNTAGTACATAGAAGGAAAGAACATCCATGCCTTGCCTGGGATTCGAACCCAGAACCTTTCTGATGCAAGGGCAGTTCCTTGCCCCCTACACAGGCCAGTCGGCTCTCATAAATAAATATAAAAGCATACATTTTGCTACCGTTGACGAAAAAGACGTAAAATATTTGGTAGAGTTGGCAAATAAGAGAATTACCCTAAATATTTAAAAAGCATAACATTTAATTCCAAAAGCATAAAATTTGTGAAATATTTTTTTTTTTCAATTTATTAAATATCACAAGAACGTTTAGGATTAGAAATTGTTTTACAGAAATTGTGAAATAGTGCAATATTTGAAATATGCGTAAAATTTAAAAGTAAATGTTTATTTCCTGTAAAAAAATGTTAAATTATATATTTTAACGCCGGGAGGGAGAAACGTTTCTTTTTCGAAAATGTGAGATATTTTCAATAATTCAATCGAAATCAAAAACGTTCAAATGTGATAAATTAAATTTGTGATATGTAATAATTTAAATAATTTTCATAATAGTAATGGGAGAAGTACTTTTTTTTTTTTTGGTTTCCAATAAGTGTTAATATTCGTTTAAACAGTTTTCATTCGATCAACCGAGTTCAATTAACCGGAGTCGAATAAGTTTTTTCGGCTGCGACTCAACAGTCCTGATCATGTGACTTGTCTTAAAAACTCGAAAAAGATGAAAACTTCAATACTTAATCTATTTCAGTAAATTATCTATGAAATCGTATCGTCATTACCAAATACAGATAACGATTTTACCTTCAACTCGTTCGCTGACTTCTTTCCAAACTGTTAGTTTACGGATGTATAGTATGACAGTTTAACTTTCATTAACCCGTAGCTTTTGTTTCATTTTGAACAAGCAATTTTCGAGTAATAGATAATTATTATTTTTGTGAAAGTACTTTGAAGGCCACGGTAGTTTTCAACTCTTATGAGGAAGTCAAGAATGATCAACATTTTGAAGGGTATTGACATTTTATCATTTTGTAATATTGTGAGAATAGAGACAGCTTTTTTTTTTATTTATGTTTAACACCGAATCAATTTTAGAGAGGTCATTTGCCCCTTCAGTTTTCATTTTTACTAACTTTATGGGTAAAAATAAGTATATCTTTAGTATTTTTTTAGATAAAGAACACATGTTTTATTTCATTTTATAACCGTAGTTGAGAAGTAGACTCTTTTTAGGTTTAACGACCATCAACTTCGTAGTCTTGAAATTATGAGAAGAGCCCAGAAGACAAAGGATTTCTTAGATCAAACGTCGGGACAAAATAGCCTCTACGATAGAACAAACCCGCACTTGCGTAACATAAAACTACAAAAAAATCTACCACGTTTAGGCAAACGGCAAGAGGAATCAAACCCTACCCTTATTTAATGTAATCACTGTGGTCAGTGCGAAACTGGAGCAGAATTTGTATCGACCAACTATAGTTGGGATTCGATCCCGAGTCGCCTTTCTATCGCGGTTCAAGATTACATGTTTGCATTCTTGAACAAGCGAAAATCTGAATTTTTATCCATGATCTGCTGATATTTTTGCTGAGATTGAGGATATTTTTAAGTCGGCGCTTCTATCGGTGTAAGTCAGGAGCAGAATTTGTATCAACCAGTCATCGTTGGAATTTGAACCTGGGTCACCCTGTTGGAAGGCGAGACCTGAGCAGCAGCGGTTCAAGAAAACATGTTTAATTTAACATAACAGTTTATTATAATTTTATTGCAGTTTTATTGCACACCTATGGTTTTCCTAAATTGTATTTAAATTCTTTTACGCTCCCTCTTTTTTTTTCTCTGAAAAATAAATGTTTACTGCTTTATTATTCATTTATTTCCTTTTTATCCGTACATGAATTTGTCTCTTTATTTTTTTACTACTAATTTTCATTCCATTGCTTCATGAATAAATGAAATTTATTTATTTTTTCCCACGAATTTCCAGTCTAATGTTTCATGAATAAATAAAATGTGTCAATTGTTTGCCATGGATTTCAATTCCGTTGTTTTATTTATGAAGTAAATTCATCCACCCTCCCCCCTTAAACTTCCATGCCATTCTGCGCTTATTCAAATTCTCACAAATTTGTTAAACGGCTTTTTCGCAGATATATTTTTAAGCTGATACAAGTTCACTAATTAACTCACTACTTAACACACAGTAACTCGACGTGGCATGGACTCAACGAGTAGTTCGAAGTCTTTTGCAGGACTATTCAACCATGCAGCTTCAATAGATGTCCTTAATTGCGAAAGTATTGCGGGTGCAGGATTTTGTACACGAACTAACCTCTCGATTTTATCCCATAAATGTTAGATGGGATTCATGTCGGACGATCTGGTTGGCCCAATCATTCACTGGAATTGACCAGAATATACTTCAAACTAGGTTCGGTGACAAGGCGCATTATCATCCACTTGTTTGGGTATATGAAGTTCAGGAATGGCTAAAAGTGGTTTGCAAGTGGCTGAACAGAACTATTTTCAGTCAACGATTGGTGCATTCAGACCATAGAACCCAGTTCGTGCCATGAAAAAGCAACCCACTCTATTATGGAATCGCCATCAGATTGTACAGTTACTTGTTGATAACTTGTCTCTCGTGGCTTCGTGGGGTCTGCGTCACACTCGGATTCTCTCATGAGCTCTAGCCAGCTGAAATCGTGACTCATCTGACCTGGTTACATTTTTCCAGTCGCTTAAGATCCAACTAATATGTTCACGAGCCCAGGAGAGGCGATGAACGTGATGCTGTGTTATTAGTAAAAGCACTCGAGTCGGTTTTCTGCGACCATATCCCATAAAGCCAAATTTTGCAGCACTGTCCTAACGGACTCGCCCATTCACGTCAAAGAACATTGATACTTGCGGTTATTTCACACACTGTTATTTATCTGTTAACACACGTCACTACTCACACGTCGGTGGTCTCAGTCATCCATGGTGGGAGGTTATGCCTGAAATTGGGTATTCGTGTTACACTTTTGACACTGTAGATTTAGGAATGTTGAATTGCTCCAATGTTGATGCTCCAACTATCATTTCACATTCAAAGTCTGTTAATTCTCGTTGTGTCGTTGTCATAATCGCATTAGAAATATTCTCGGACGTACAACTTGAACATCAGAGTGCATGATCCATATATACATTTTCAATGCGATACTACTGCCATCTGTATATTTGCATATTCCTATCCATGACTTTTATCATTTCAGTGTATACTAATTTAATCAATGTATGATTTTTGTTTTATTATCATAAAAGTAACTTTACTGATGTGTATAATATCTTACTGTAATTATAGACTTTAATATTACTAAACAACAAAGATTGTGGCGGCTGCTGTTCATAAAGTAGTGTAAAAGAACATTTAAGTGTTTCACTGTACTTGAAAATATTATTGGTTTTTTTATGTAGTGGAACACCACTTGGTGTAAAATAGTTGCTATTTTTTTGGTGTTCAGATACAGGGACATTTTTTACACTGTACTTTAAATTGTATCGTAAAAATAATATCATATCTTATTGTTATAATAAATTTTAGTGTTGCTGGTCAACAAAAATGAGACAACTACTTTAAACTAAAATCAGTAAAACAGAATATTCGTGGTGTTTTACTGCATTAAGCACAAAAGAATTGATTGCTGCGAAACAGAACGTTTCGAACCCGTTAACGTTCTTTTCCTTGTTATTTGAGGTCTTCTCTTATAGATACTGAATTTTAAAACAAATTACCAAGCATGCAAAACATTCCAATATAATTGCAATGCTAATAATTAATATGGTTGGTACATATTAATTTTGAACTTTAAATTATCCAATATAATATTATTACTTTGCACACATCCACTTTCGGGCCATATCCAGGGTAACTAACTAATCAGACGCTCTTTAATACTGCAGTCGGAACGCGCAATTAAAAAGAACCCTCTATTTAGGCTTTTGCTTTCATATTTTGTAATCTGGCAATCTTACTAAGAAAATTATTTAAATCATTCTTGAAAGATTCCGGTATGTAAGTTCATTTGAATTCCTTTCTCGCCTTTAGAGATTTCGTTTTGTGTTCTGTTTAGTATTTTCTTTGCATTTTATTTTCTGTTTTTTGCTTGATATATTTTATTTTGTATATATTTTTTACTTAATGTGTTCTATTTTCGTTTACATTTTTTGTTTGAGTGCTCCTAACACTATCGTATTGATATATTTTGCTTTGGCTATATTGATTCAATATTAGAAAGCACTTCTTTTTGCGGATATAATCGCGTGAGCTGATGAAGAGATTATATCTTTTCATTATTTTGTTTTCCAGATTTTTAATTTTTCTAAAAAAAATAAATTAAAAAAAAATTTGAATGTTTTTAAAAATATTTTATTTTAATAACTTTTATTCTTTTCTTTTCATTAATATTTAAAATTTTCCATGTTTTCTCGACATTTTTTAAAAACACTCCGCTCCGCTCACCAACCCCTCTGTACCGTTACCCCTTTGGCTGTGATCTCAAAATTTAAATTTAGTAACGGTTACCCAGGTTATTTAGTAGACAAATATCTAATGAATTACAGAAAACTTTTAACATTTAAAACTCATTTTTATTGCACCTCTAAATCTTCAAAAACATATTTTCACACATTTCCAACTGCTAACATGGGAATAAACATTTATACATTAATTAAAACAAAAATGCAACCTTAAAACACTCAAGCATAACCTTCAATTTCTACAGTTCAAAAAAAGACATTTAAAAAATAAAAACTGCCTTTAACATTACTAAAAACACAGACTTGGTTTATGATATCTATAAATCACACTTAAATACTGATTGTTCTCCTACACAAAAAAACACCATAACAGTTCTGAATTTACGGTAAATGATTCCTCGAAAATCTTAACGAAATAAAATCTAAAGTTTTATAAGTACCCTACGGAATTTACTGCTTTCACTCTGGAACCGCCCACCGGAAAGGTAGATGAACTCATGGACAAACTCCTCGGCTAGGATCTCGAAATTTCTCCAGCTATTCTAATTTCAAGCGACTTAGGCATGTAGAAGGGGGACACCGGACGTCCAGCATAGATTCCTTCGGACTTGGCCCATCGTCTCAAAGATATCGGCTTTTGGCTAATCCCGGCAGTCCTTCCCGCTAGAGACTTCAGTTTAGCTTTCCCTAAGGTTACGATCCACCATCTCCGAGATACTGTCACGAACCACTCCTTCAGCGGACAAACTCCGTATCCCCAGGATACTGCTCTGGTTAACTGCTTACTACTGGTACTGCAACTGCTTTTAGCCACATTCGTTGCTTCTCTTTTATCCTCCCTTCAACAAGGCGAAAGAATCTAGACTGACCTGTTTACCACGTCCAGAGTCATCCCGCATCCGGCGGACGTCAGAACCAAAAAAAAAAGTTCCCTGAGAAAAAACAGTCATAAATCCACCAATACCCTATACAAGTTATAATACCATCCTCAATAAATATTAATAAATTTAGTTACATAGATTTCACCCCAAAAATCCCTTTTTAAAAGACTAATTCAAAATTTCTAAAGAAAATATCATTATGATTGAATTTAAACTTTACCATAGTGGTGCCATCTACAGACAAATAATCTATCTTTAAAAGTATTGAAAAAAAAATCTATAATAAATTTCAATTTATTACACCTCATAATTGCTGCGCAATTACATTTTTGTTTGCTTCGCGAACAAAATTAAAGTCGTCTTCCTGGAGATTAGCTAGCAATTTTTCTGCACCAACATCACATAGAGAGAATATGATAGGAATGTAAAATGTCAGAGGTGCTTGTTATCAGGATTATAAACTTATATAAAGCAATTTTAATACAAACAATATTATAAACTTATATAAATTTGAGCAAATTTGTGATTTTGATTATTTGGAGGAATCAAACTTGTTGTCGCAGTAACAGTGACATCACCTTTAAAAGTAAGACAACTGATACCTTTAAAAGAAATTTCATGAGATGGGCAAAAAGCTGCCATCTCAAATGCAGAGTTGTACGATCGAACATTCTGTTTAAAGTTAATTGCATCAGAATGGCTACCAAGTAAAAGATCTTTTAATACTTCTGGATATTCCATATTGGCGAGCTCAACTTTGCCATGATGGCAGCAATTAAATTTCGTTCTGCCATGCTCTGCTGGAAACGAAAGAGCACCACAATTTACGCATTCATTACTTAATGTTCCAACGGAAAAAGGGGGTATAATGTCTGATAAAGACTCACCAAGGTATTCGTTTTCATTTAAACGTCTTGACTCTTCAATGTTTCTTTGCCGCGCATTCCGCAGTCGCGTATTGATAGTACTACGATTATTTTCCAGGTAATTTTGTGCCGCTAAATTATGTTCAACTGTATGTCGCTGTTGATATAGCCTAAGATATTCACGGCGATCCATTTTTTATAAAAGATATAAGTATTTTAAAGTAAACTCTGTTCAATATATTTTGATAATTTGGAATGTAGATAGTTTTTTGAGAGAGTGTTGATTCGTGCTTCCAATAACTCTACCCAATTTATCAAAGCTATTAAAATATATTGGAGTTCTAAAATCTTCCTTTTTATAAACGTAATAGTAGTGTTTTCTTAATTGTTTGATTCGAAGTCGTCTGAGTTTTATTTGAGGTCAATTTGTATTTAGTATTTTTTGGCAGCATTATTAAAAATTAATACCTTTTCACACACATGCGTTCTCAATTTTGATTGGCTGTTTTGTGCGTTACTAACCAGAAGTCTTCTGTGATTGGCTATGTGTTATCTTTCCATTCTCTTCTTATATGCCACCATTTTGGCTGTCAAGATACATTGAAACTTTTTACTGTGTAAAAATACTACAGAAAAATAAATATACATATTTTCAATATAAAAAATAGTTTTTTATTTTCAATTTTGACAAAAATTTACTAAATGTTGGACATGGAACTGTGTTCTTCTTAATGGTCTCCATCATTAAATTATCTAACTTTACCTGAAAAATGAATCAAAATACAATGTATGATATATTGTCATTAACCCATCGTTATTATAGTTATAGCTACCAACGTTCACCTTTTTCACGAAATATTATACCCTTTGTTAGCAAATTATGTTTTATTATATTATATGTTTCATTAAGTGTTTTATTCTTGATTTGATGAAATGTTTTAAAAGGATTTTAACTACTTTTATGTTTCATTTAATTAAATTTTGATTATTAATGAACTTCTGGTAAAAATTAAACAAAATAACCAAAGATTCTAAAAGCGTTAGTTTTTAATTGTCTGCCATTCTATAAAATATTATGCAAGGGCTAGGTAATTAGCAACCCTGTTATCATATGATACTAATATTTGAATATCTTTGACTACCACTAGGAGAAATCTTTTTTGTAAAGAGCAAAAGTTGGCAGGTATGTATTACAAATAAAGTTAACTTTAGAGAATAAATTTTTAAACAACAGTTAAATATTGTAAAAATATAAACATTTACTAATTTTTAAATTAAAAAAAAGTATATTCTAAATGTATTAAATATTCAAGTTTTAAAATGTTCTTACCAATATTTTAGGGATCAGTGCTTTTAGCTTTGTTAGCTTCCTCTGCAAGCCAGTTGGACCTCTAAGGAAATTTCGAAAAAAAAGTTTATGTCTCAGCCTAACAGTAGAAAAAAAGATTTAATTTTCATGGAATTAGTTTTTCTTTATTTTTTGTTAGTATGCTTTAAATAATGTAAAAGCTCAAAGTTTCTTTTTAACTTTGGGCTTAAAATTCAGATAATTTAAAAACAAATTTAAAAAAATTAATATAATTTCCTAAATACTATTTTCACTGATACCAAACTAGTCTCACTATATTAGAGATGAGTTCGAGCTAACTTTTTTGGCTTTTGGCTCACTTTCGAATTAAGTCAGTATCAGTGACTTAATTCGACTGTGAGCACTCCCTACTGTCTATAACTTAATCAGCATTAAATACAGAATTCAATTCATTTTTAGCATTATATATAGTGATTTAATTACAGCATTAAATTTAGCTAATCAATTATAGCATTAAATACAGAATGCGATTCAACTGGCTAATGATAAATAATGAAAGAACTCTGGAAACAAAAATAACCTTCATCGATCTATGTAATGATGATGATAAATTTTAATTATCTAAAATTCTTAGCAAAGCCGAATAGTTATTGTAGTAATATTTTATTTACGTCATGCTAGAACTGCGCAATGGGCTATGGCGACGGTCTAAGAAACATACCTGAAGATGATCCGAAGACATACATGTCATCACAATTTTGATCCTCTGCAGAGAGCTTGGCTCCCCACTTTCGAAGCCCGATAATCTGCTCACGAATTTTAGCATTTTACGATAGAACACTTTAACAAGGACTGATACCGCGTACTCTCGGCCCTTTCAGAGGCTGATCAAAGTGGTTACTCATCCGCTATCTGACTGCAGCCAGTGATTCTTAAATTCGCTGGTCTATTATCCGTGTCTTATGATCAATCCACTACGAGACAATAAAACTTAATGGTGATAGATAATTGAGTTCGAATTTCATATTCACAGCCGCCAGTCCGGAAGTCCAAGCGTCTTATCATATTATTGGTAGTGAATTAACAATTTAGATAAGCTTAATCTGTTTAATATTGCCCCATTTGTTTATTATTGCATTTAATTTGTACTCTCGGTTCCTTCAAAGGCTGATCAAGGTGCTTACTGACACGCTCACTGACTGCAGCCAGTGATTCTTGACTTCGCTGGTCTATTATCCGTGTTTTATGATCAATCCACTAAGGGACAATAAAATCTAATGGTGATAGATAATTGAGTTTGAATTCCATACTCGTAGTGGCCAGTCCGGAAGTCCAAGGTTCTTATCATATTCTTGGTAGTGAATTGACAATTTAGATAAGCTTAATTTGTTTAATATTGCCTCATTTGCTTATTATTGCATTTAATTTGTACTTTCGGTCCCTTCAAAGGCTGATCAAAGTGGTTACTCACCCGCTCTCTGACTGCAGCCAGTGATTCTTGACTTCTCTGGTCTATTATCCGCGTCTAATGATCAATCCACTATGGGACAATAAAACTTAATGGTGATAGATAATTGAGTTCGAATTCCATACTCATAGCGGCCAATCCGGAAGTCCAAGCTTCTTATCATATTCTTGGTAGTGAATTAACAATTTAGATAAGCTTAATTTGTTTAATATTGCATCATTTGTTTATTATTACATTTAATTTGTACTTTCGGTCCCTTCAAAGGGTGACCAAAGTGGTTACTCACCCTCTCCCTGACTGCTGCCAGTGATTCTTGTCTTCGCTGGTCTATTATCCGTGTCTTATCAATTCACTATGGGACAATAAAACCTAATGGTGATAGATAATTGAGTTCGAATTCCATACTCATAGCGGCCAATCCGGAAGTCTAAGCTTCTTATCATATTCTTAGTAGTGAATTAACAATTTAGATAAGCTTAATTTGTTTAATATTGCAAAATTTAAAAACTAACTGCACGCTTAGACAGAGATGTTATATAATATTGCATAACTTCTAGCATATAATTTAAAAATATCTACAGAATGCTATTTAGTACCCATTAATAACGAAGCTCCTCTTGACAAGGGACCTTAATTGTATAATATGGTGAACTCAAATTTTCGGTTTAATCCGAAATAATTTTTAAGAATTAAGTATTTAAGTGAACAGTCTTTATTGCTTTTGACAGGGTCGTAAAAATAGGAGACTTGATGCTTTTTGGCTTAATAAATTTCTACTTAAAGTTATCAATAAATTTTTTATTTTACTACCACTGAGAAAAAAAGTCGACCTGAAAGTGAGAATGTTAGAAGCCATGTAAACGTAAAAGCTTATTTACGTCACATTAACAAATAAATAACGCGTGAAGATAACTGGGAAAACATATAAAATAATGTGGACTAAATACTAATCAACCGTCTCGTGAAATAGTAATCTTTAGAAAACTTTTTATTAAGTCATGTAAGAAGTTTAGAAGTTGTTCGCCTTTTACACATCTGTGAGAAATATTGGACAGTTCTTATAGTGTCACAATTAGAGAAACAAAACACCTTTTATTACATACTTAATGCTATTCCAGACACACAGTATTATTATTTATGTTTCAAACTTAATTTAAAGCTCAATGCGTTTTCAGAGCTAAATTGGTAGGCTAAAGAAGGAAATATCTACTTGGTTTGAACATCTATGTACTGCAAACAAAATAAACGTGCTATCTTTAATAACTTTTGAGCTACCAATTAGATTTTTATTCAGTTAGTTGTTAGGCTATTAGAGAACTTAACAACTAACTGAAGGTGTATTTTGAATGGTGACTTCCTGATTTTGCAAAGCGTTACTGTTCCATCTTACTCTAAAGCTATTTGAGCTTCTCAGCACAGGTGAGAAAATTTCTTGTTAAGTGTTGTGTTGTTAAGGGATAGAAAATAAGGTTAGCGTTACGGCTAGGAAACACCTAGCAAAACCTGTCTAATATTTCAAAGAAATCTTTTAAAGCAGGTAACTGTTACCATGGAGGAATATAACTATTTTAACGCAAAAATGCACTTATTTTTAAAATCCCTTTTCTTACATTTTCATTTTTTAAAGCAGTACACTAAGCAAAGCATGTCTTTTAAAAGTAAGCAATAAATATACAGGGATATTCATAATTCCTTCTGCCTGTAAACGCTATTTTTCTTTACTACGACTGGCTTCAGTGGTACATGTTATTGCCATCTACTGGCGACTGCTTAAATTAAAACTTGAATACTTTCGGAATAATACCATATGTTCTTTTTTGCCATATTCGCCTTCGTTTCTTTACTATAACGCTTCGAAACCCCGGAGGGAATTATGAATAACCCTGTAGAAAGAAAGCAACGCAAGCAATAAATATAAAATCTAGTCAAACTAATAAACTTATAATGCAAACTTATAAGGTATTCAGTGCGTAAAATAAGAAACGGACCATCCTGAATAACATTTGATCTAATAAGTAGATCTTCACGTTTTAGGATTCAATCTTAATGGCTCGAGGAGAAGACTTAAAATGTGCTAATTAATAAGTGCAGACGATGTTTTAAGTTACGAAATCAAACACAAAAATGTACTTTCTCTGAATAAGCATACTTTTTTTCAACGAATTCGGATTTCTTATCACCAAAGTATAGGGGTTAGTATCTGGGAAATATGGTTCGAATAGTTTGGTCAGGAGAACGGTCTAAAGTTTAGATCCCTTAATGTTAATTTTTTGTTTTGTGTAATTCTCCATATCTCGAGAACTTTTAAAGAGAATTAAAAAACTTTGTTACTTAATTATAAAATTCGTTTATCCAAGGATAATTCCATGCAAAAAATAACTTACACTAAGTAATTTGTATTATTTTATTTAATAAAAGTCGAAAAAATTTTAAATTTTAAGGTATACAATTTTCTACATTTTAAATAATGTAATTTTATATAACGAAATACAAATATTGAAGGAAAATCGGTCGAATAGTTCCTGAAATATGGAATTTTAAAAATGTGATTTTTTTTAAAAAAATTTGATTTCTCGGGAACTATTTGACCGATTTTGTTCAGGTTTTGTATTTCGCCACGTAAAATTATATTTTTTAAAATGATGTAAAAATTTGTTATGATGGTATGTTTAAAGTATTTTTGTTAGTTATTTATGGGCACAATTTTATTTAATTTTTTTTTGGGCACCGCGTTTTAATTTAAATAATCTCATTCTGTATTTTAATCTATATTTTTACTTTAATCAACAACCCCATCTGATTTTCACTTACACCCCTATCCTTCAACACCTTCCAATATTTTTCCTTCACCCCTACTTCTTGAGAATGGATTCATTCACTGGTGTGAATAGTCAAAACGATAGTAGCGCCACCCTTTGGTGCGGATGAATACATGAGCGGGAGAAAAGAGCGGCAATTCGTTTTTTAGACATTCCTGCTGCTGACGACTGAGGTTGAACGTGATCTGAGGGATGATGCGGGGTGGCCGGCCACGCGCGCTTTTAGGATAAGTCCTTTACCTTTTTATTTTTTATTTTTATGTGCCCGTAATTTCTTTTATTATTATTTTATTTTGATATGATGTTAACTAAAGAAAAATGATTATTTTTAAATAATCTGTCTAACTGAAGTGTAAGTCATATAGCAGTAAAGCAACTCCTTTTTAAATTGTAAACTAATTTTACTTATGATTAAGTCTTTTAAATAAAAATATTTAGTCTAGATTAGTTATGTTGTTGGATGTGAATCCTTTAAATTTAATTTACATTCAGCTCATCAAGATTATCATTGCAGTAATAGTAAATGTGCTAATAATTTTAAATTAACTTAAATTACTTCTACTTGTTATATCTGGTAAATTTTGTTAGTTAAAGTTAAATGTTCTCACAACGCAATTATTTTTTAGAAAATCATTCTTGATTCCTTAAATATACTTTTTTTTCTCTATTCAAAAATAAGATATAACAAATTGCATGCCTTACAATACAAAATTAGTTATGACTATTATTAAATACAGTAATAAAAAATAATGAACATTTTCTGATATTTATATTTTGTATGGAATTATCTTTGGATACACAAATTTTATAATTATTTGCAAAAAGTTTTAAATTTTCTTGAAAAGTTCTCGAGGTATGGAGAAATACGCAAAAAGTAAGTTTAACATTTAGGGGTCCTAACTTTGGACCGCTCTCCAAATCCGTCGAAAAAAGGATATGTTTATTCAGAGAAAGTACGTTTTGTGTCTGATTTTGTGACTTGAAATTCCGTCTGCACTTATTAGCATATTTGAGGCTACACCTTCGAGCTATTAAGATTGAGTCCTAGAACGTGAAGATCTAATTATTAGATCAAAAGTTATTTAATGTGGTTCATTTATTTTTTTTTGTACAATGTACACCTAAAAAAGCTGCGGTGGCGAACGGAACACGCATTCAATATAGAGAGATGTTGCTATATTAGATTCTTAACCTTTTTTCTCTCTGGTTCCGGGTCCGATTCGACGACTTCAATGAAAATCGAGCTATCGTTATCACCTGCTTGAACAATTGATTTCTGTACGTGGTATTTGTGACCATTCACATCCACTTCTTCTTCTGAAGTAGTATTGACTTCCATTGTGCCATTCCCATAAACAGTATCTTCGACAGTTTGACGAAAGGCTTTTTCAATGGCTCCTGTAAGTGAAATATGCCTCTGATTATCATAAGCGCATTAAATTAAACTTATAAGTTCAAGAATTATATAGAAATTTATAAGATTCTCTACTACTTTAAATTTAAAAATGAAATACTAAAAACCATTCTTAGTTGTTGACAGGTCAGCTAAAGTGGCCATATTTCAGAAAAATTTAAAAATCGGCAAAAAGATTGGGAACACAAAATGTTTTAACTAATTACTAGAGACCAAAAATATTTATAACTAGTGGGTTTCGCCCCCTGCTCGCTAACGCTCGCCAACCCCCGAAAATTGCTTGTAATCTTGTATGGTTTGCTTCGCAAACTCAAGCTCGCTTCGCTCGCTACTAACTTAGGTGCATTGCAAATGCACAAAATTCTAAGAATTCAAAACAATCATTCAAATCCATATAACAACTTTTTTATTTTAAAAAAAAACTACATCTTTTTAGTAAATACTTAGTCATTAAAATAAATTTTAACTCAAATAAATGACATGTAATTCGTTAAACCTATTAGAAATGTGCTATAGTATAAAATCTTAAAGCGTAACAGCACGACTGAGACTCATTTTCAATGAATAACTAATAACAATAATAAAACAAATAAATTCGTGATATAAATCAAAAATCGTCAAATAAATTCGTAATATATAAATTCGTGAAAAAAAGCGCTTTCGACAAAATACTAAAATAGAGATCTATCGACAAAGACTACTCACTTC